ATTTGAGTCATGTCTGGGAGTAAAAAGGGAGAGAAATCTGTATATTTTGATAATAGTTTTGTTTGGGTTAGGAGTGCTGAAGACAATCTCTGCCGCTCTTTGTATCTTGATTTCAATAAAAGTGAAATGGCAAAAAAGAATCATGTCAGTCCATTAGAGGTTGTGCTTTTGCACAAGTCAAATATAAGAAGCTGGAGATTCTGATCATTAGCTCACTTCCCGAGAAGAGTTTGCTTTAGTAAGATAGCAAGGTCTGTACATGATTCAGTTTCTGACCCAAGTTTATACTGCAAGCACATTTTTGACCTTCCAACAGAGTCAACATGTCAGATACGAGGGTAAAGGGTCACCGAAGGGAATCGTCACGATGTTAACTGTGAATTTCTTCTAGCATAAATTTTGGGTACTTTGAGCACGACAAACTACCTTTTGGGTACTCACCTTCAGTAAAGTACTTCAATTAAAAACAGTTCATTCTACAGCTTAGTCATTTTTAAAGAGACAGTAATGTATTGGTGCCAGTACTCAATGTTTCAATATCGATACTGGAAAAGAGTAAGTGGTATCATGTCATCTCTAGAGGACAAACATGAAGGACAAATTCTACATTTTTTCAGCTATGAGAAAGTCTCGCATCACAGGCAGGTGAAATAGCAAATAAGCATGTCAGTCCATTAGAGGTTGTGCTTTTGCACAAGTCAAATATAAGAAGCTGATTCTGATCATTAGCTCACTTCCCGAGAAGAGTTTGCTTCAGCAAGATAGCAAGGTCTGTAGATGGTTCACTTTCTGACCCAAGCTTATATTGCAAGCACATTTTTGACCTTCCAACAGCGTCAACATGTCAGATATGAGGGTAAAGGGTCACAAAGGGGAATGAGGTCCAGCAACAGAGCGAAGGTGTAAACACTGGTTATATATTGCTCGTTTATGCTTCAACCTTGCCCTTCTTATTGAGCTGACCTGGCAATTCCACTCACCTTCTTTGGAGATCCAGAGAACAGTATGACAGCCTCCGCTAGGTGAACAGAAGAAAGCAGGCGAGCTGCTGTGAATGACCGGTCAACTTAAGAAAGTATTTGGACTTTGGGCATCCTGTGGCTTTGAAAGAGTGAAAAAGACCATCTGGACTTGATTTCCATTAGAGAGACTGATACAATACCAGTTTTGTATTTGAAAAACGTAATGTTTTTTTTCTCCATAGTTCTCCTGTCGAACAGGCTGACATGAAACCTTCCAGAGCAAGCACTGTTCTGTGTTCAACTTGAGTTATAATCATAATAACTATCAAAATAATTAACCCACAGTTAATTGCACTCAAAAGCAAAGAGCTACATGAAACAAGCTAAGCTAATGAGTAGTCAGCAGAGCAAGCTTTTCATAGCTCACGTAGTCTAATCTTGGAGCTTTGAAAAGAAGGAGGCTGTATGAGACTATTTGACTTTTAAGTTTATATAAGTAGGACTTTTTAAAGTCATAAATATTGCTTTCAGGTGAATGGAAAGTGTCGACACCACAGCTAAATGACGTTCCTACATGCCAACAAGCATCCAATGGGTTGGTGGGATTGTTTTGCATCTTCAATAATTGAGTACTCCAGCTCACAATCTGTCCAAGGCCTCTGGAGGTTAACCGATCATTGTGAGGTGGGGGGAGACTCCTCACACTGAGGCTATTTGTGATCTTTAGATCAATACCTGCAGGTGGGTCAACGTCAGCTGGATAGGAAACAGGCCAGAAACTCTCGCGTTTTCTTGACAGCATAAAGAACGGCACACCACGAGGTGAAGTGGAGTAGTTGGTCAATGGATCAATCTATTTCTATTTAGGGAACCGTCCCTCACGTTGACGCAGGAGCCAAAGGTAAGAGTGCAAAATTAAACACTCGAAAAACACCTAGCACTTCTAATTAGCCAAGACGGGCGAAGGTAAGCGTCGTACATTGGCATGCGACGTCAGAGAGCGGGAGAGACAGGGTCTGTCTGGTGTCTGAGTGAGCAGACAGCTGTTTCAGTAGTCCCTGAGCTCAGCGGTAGACTAATGGGCAGAGCAGCCCTGTCTCATGTCTCCGAGCCTGGCTGGAGGGGATGTATTGATAATCTCCACCAGGATATCTCAATCCCCATAAGAACTTCCAGACCAGTCCCCCGAGAGTTGTTGGGCTTTCTACTCTGACACTGTCACACAGCTGAGAAGGAAGAGGGCTCCTTCTCGCCTGTTTGAGAGAGGCCCGAGTGTTGGCAAGAGAGAAAGAGGAAGAGAGGCTTGCTGCTCTGTGGGTCCGAGCCCCGGCTCTGTCAGAAGTGCTAATCTGGCCCAGAGAAGGAGCTTGCGAATTTGTGATTCTTCTTGTTACAGGGCAAAGGCAGGCAGGCTCAATCTTTAAACTATCACTTTTATTGAAAGCGTGGTACATGAAGGTAGCTATTTCTGTGCTTCCATTGTCTCAGTGCACTCAGGAGAGGGTCTTTAGATGTCAGCGGTTCAGTGGCTGGAGCTCCATGCTGCCTGTCACCCTGCTTCTGGAACAAAGGGCTGATGGCTCTTTGTGAGCTGAAACCCAGGGCACAGCGGTCCGTTCACGAGCGGGAATATTACTGTGTCGTGGATCACAGGGCCAACACAGCGCACATTCGCTTACAATACCCTCATAGATCTTATTCAGACAGAATCTGCACATTGCCGGATCCAGACGAGTGAGGTTAAAGTTAAAGGTCGCCGCCACTCGTACCTTGAGGATTTGTTCACGCTTTCTGTACCATGCTTTCTGTACCATACCATTTCTATACCATTCTTTTAACGCTGGTAAACAAAACTACATGATGACAAGAGGTGGAAATGTGTTGTAGGGGGTATGTGCTGTGCTTGTTGGATAAAACATATTTGTCTATTCATCTACATTTTCAATATATTGAAGACAGGATCAAGGTCTTCTGGATCACAGAAGTCGATCAAAACTTTCCTGATCACAGGAAATCAGCAACTTTTTACCGACCAGTATTTAAAAGAATATCTGTGGTAGATTGCATCACTACCACCAACAGCAAGAAAAGCTGCCTTCTTTTCAGCATCTGATGTCAGTTGTTTTGTAATTTGCTCATTTTATTCAGATTGCGGAAAACACAGACTGGCTTGTTAGCATCTGTTACCATCACATCTGTTTTGTTCTAACAAGCAGTGTCGCATCCTGTCGCTCATCTGTCTCAAACGTGGTACATTATGTGAAGGCGATGATCAAGGACATGCATGCTAAAGTCTCTCTCATGCTATCAAAATGGTATTAAGTCAGGCAAATAACTGATTATGCTGTACTAAAAGGTTCTTTCTCTGATTTCACACTTCTGCACAGGAAATTGCAGTATTGTACCTGGTGAATATAGACTTTAATAAGGCAATGTGACCTCAGACTATTTGGTAATATACAATGTGAAAAGGAAGGGAGAAATCAAGACTTGGCCACCGAGACCATTTCAAGGCCATGCGTAGGAGATATGTGGACAACAGAGATGGCATATTGTTATAGACAGGTATCAGGCCGATATCAGCAGAAAATACTGGACTGGATATGGGGAAGGAAAGAATGAAGAATGAAGGAAAGAATATTTTGCTGTAAAAAAAATCTAGCCTGAGACCGCACACTCGCATTGTATTGCCACGTTGTCAGCTGTGTATTTCTTGTAGCATAGATTTTGGATAGTCTGAGCGTGACAACCTTCCTTTTGGGTACTCACCTTCAGTAAACCATTTCAATTAAAAATGGCTCATTTTACAGCTTATAAACAATAATGTATTGGTGCCAGTACTCAATGTTTCAATACCAATACTGGAAAAGAGAAAGTGGTATCATGTCATCTCTAGAGGACAAATATGAAGGACAAATTCTACATTTTATCAGCTATAAGAAAGTCTTGCATCACAGGCAGGGGACTTGTATGCTTTAGCCGGCAGCCACACAGGACAGTGGATAGAGATGCTGAAAGTGTCTGCACCCGATAATGCCATGTGAAGGATGTTATTTTCTAACAGAAGCACACTTCACACACGCACACGGAATCGTCTTTCATGGCAATAATGCAAAGTCACTGGCCACACTGCATATAGAGGCCAGGATATATGCTGGAGTAACCAAAGGCTTCAAAAACAACTCAGGCATGACTTTAAAATGTTTTTGTGTTTTCTTCTTTTTAAACAAACGACAGACATTCGATGGAGCCTGCTTAAATTAGGGCACTGATGGCTTATTTTGACAGTCCCTGATTAAAGCCCCTTGATTTCGTTCCTTTTGAAACGGAGGATTAAGACAAATAGGTTCTTTGAGAGCAGCCATCCCTTTGGCTTCTTCCAGAGTGAGTCAAAGACGTTATCGCAGACAGACAGAGCTTGATGCCCATGGTGTTAGCCTGGAACCGTAAGTGGGTCAACTGCGGGGACCTATGTAGATGCACCTCAGTGACCGTCGCAGGTGAAACTGGCCCCAGCGTCCACTAGCTGACCACGCTGTGTGACAAGGATTTAACAGAGAAGGGCAGGGGTTAGACCTCAACTTTCCAAGTGCGCTGGCTTGGAAGGCGCAAGCTTTGTTTAAGGAGGAATTTCAAGGTCATGCTCTACACCTCCACACTTGACAGATAGTAGAAGGGAGGGAGGGAGGGGAGAAGAGAAGAGGCTGAGACAAGAGGAAGCTGGCTGGCAGCCTGAAATGGAGAGAGGGAGTGTAAATAAGGGATAGACTCACCTCTATTCCCCGGTCTTGGGTCAGGACAAGACACGACAAGGTTACTGAGGTTACGCCACTGAGTCTCACATGAGACAGGGTGGAATGACATGGAGTGTCACTTCTACACAGGTTGAGCTGTGTGTGTGTGTGTGTGTATTATCCATCGAGTCTCAAGACACCTCACGTTAAAACAACCTTCGAAGAAAGCTACTTAGACTGATCAGAAAAAAGACAGTGATGGCTTAATGATAAAAAAAAGATCAAATATACACAACCACCAGGAATGTTTTACGTATTTTATTGCTATTAAACTTAAAAATCATTACCCAGAATGAAAATCCAGGCAAAAAAATAATATTTGGCATTGTGAAATGACACTAAAGGAAAAAAATGGTTTCTTAGCATAGAGTTATCATCATATTCATTAGAAAAAAAAATCGTTGCATGGCAGAGAACACTGTTTCTGAGCCTGAAAAAAAAAGCTTGCAGATTAGCATTTACAGGGACATATTCTACCTGAACATGAACTACCGGGAGCTTTCTCCAATTACAATTCTAACACTACCTACTGTCATACGGCGCAATCTAGTTAATTAGTAACCTCAAATAACGAATCATTAACACATTACTGGTTGTGCTTAGTGTTGGCACGCCATGGTCTGCACTGGCACTTGCAAGTGGGCTGAAGAAATACAGGGGTATAGCTGCTAAAACACCAACATGGCAGTTTGGTTTTATCTATTTAGATACAAAGCAAAGCTCTGCAGTTAGATCCATTTTCATACCTTTAAATTTAAGACTCTTTAATACATTACAAATAAAAAGTACTATTTCATAATAATTAATGAACACAAGTGATAATAGGTGTTTTAAAATCTTAAATTAGTAGTGTAAACTGAAACACATTTAAATAAAATAAATACAATAGTATAAATAAATTCAAGTATTTCTGATGTGCAGTCATTCCCTCTTTGCCAGCTGACAGCGCGCAAGTTTCAAGGACTGTATCTAAGCATGCACAAACAAATGCTATCGGCTGCCGTGCTGCAGGACTGAAGGTGTCTGACTGCAGGGATGCATATCAAACACGACATTCACTGAGGTTAGGATTGGCTCATTATTACATGGCTAAAAAGCCAACTTGTAGAACAACAAGGGAAGCTTTACTCTCCTCAAAATACCAGACACAAAAACAATGCTTGAGCTGAGCTTTTAGCCTTTCAGAAAGAGACGAAATACTCCTCTACAGTTACTGTTCTCCGGACAAAACTGCATAAAACTATAAGAATAAAGTGACTAAGGAACAAAGATTAAAGCTCTACTATGCCAAACTTAAAAGTATTTCAAGAAAAACTGAAATGTTTGCAAATATCATTAGCCGCAGTGAAAAAAGAAAAACAGCATTTTAGCTTGGCTTTCATTAACAAACAGCATACGCACTAATCCCATTCCATCTAAATTTCACTGAAGCATTCACTTATTTATTCATGGAATTATTTTGCAGTCCTGGACTTGAGCCCAAAAACGGTGAATTGGTATTTTACAGTATCAATAAGGGCGATCACTGTACAGCAGACAGCTATTTTACAGCAGCTCCACAGGGACGAACCGAGCTGGAGGGAGAGAGACTGCCTAATCGTCTGCATCTGATGCGCTAACAAACGCGAGCTAACGGGGCGGACTGGCAAATCCCTTTTCATATGCTTCCAGAGTTAGCGCGGCTCCCGCGGGGGAAGGGGTGGGGGTTAGGTGCAGAGGGAGGGATCCGGTCCCCTTTTCCTCCTCAGGAGGCAGCGAGAGGTCCGGCAGAGGATCAGAAGTGGCCCATGCGGGTGGTGAAGAGGCTGCGTGAGCGCGGCGCGGCGGAGGCCACGCTCCGGCCAAAGCTGGAGGAAGGCCACTTGATGATGAACTGGGAGGTCACTGGCAGCAGATACCTGCACAGACGGAGATGGGGAAGAGGGACAGGGGGTTTGGACGGGAGACCGCGGGAGGAGGCAGGATTAGAGCCACAAAGGTCGTGCAAAGAGATCAGGCAGCATTAACCCGGCCTTGCAATCTGACACACAAAACAAACCCGCCTGCCCGGCCCACTCTTCCCTGCAACCACCCTCTCAGCCCCATACTGTCCAACATCAGTTAGGACACCCTCCCACCCCTTCCAGCCCACTCCAGCCCCTCTGCTTCCCCTCCTTGATCCCTTCTTGTAAACGCCGTCTGTTTTTAACGATGAGTGACACTTTGCATTTTCACTTGAGCGGCTAAACAAGGCCTTGCTTTGACAGATGGGTGAAGGAAGCTGTTTACAGCTGACACTGCTTAAATCTATCTGATAGGTTCAGGATGTCCGAGAGTGGATACAGGCTAAGATAATTAGGACCTGGAATGGAGACAAGGAGGTTAACCATTTGAGACAACGGATGACCCACATAGGATAATTGTAGGATATTCAGATCACAATACGGTTTACTAATGAGTGCTCTTAAACAGTTTATTCATTAGCGGCCAGCTAGCTAACACAGTACTTTGCTTTAAACAAATGACCTGTTCTCGGTACAGAAATTGAACTGCAAGAAAAAAGAGATCTTTTGAACAGAATAACTGTAAAATAACCCTTGGGTTTGTGGGCGTAACATGGTACTTGTGACAGTCTTCCTTGTACAATATCCCCAGGACAAATTAGTCGTGCTGCTTCTTCTAAGTATACTAAAAAAGATTTGCTCTGAGGGCTTCTGCTGCAATGCTGCCGTACCCAGGAGACTTGTGAAAAGTCAAATTAACTTCATTTAGTTCAAGAAGAATGTCCTTGAAACTGCTCAAGTGTACCGCTGGTACTTGTCAAGCAGATATCTTAGAATGTAGATTAACTACCCACTGTACATTCAAACCGTTCACCAGAGTGCAGTAATGAAAGGAGGGGGGAAAAAAGGCCAATTTTTTTCCTGGATGCTCCTGCACAACTGAAATGCTACAGCATCGTGAAAATACCAAGATATGAGCCAGATCCAACTCTCAACCTTCGTTCATAAGCACGCATATTGGGTCATCTTCAAACTTATCCACATCTGATTTTTTATCATGTTCCTTTCATTGCAGCTTCCACTTTTTTGGTAGTTTTATTGGCTTGTTCTTGGGGATCAATATTGGGGTTGGAGTTTTGCCTCATTACCATATTTCCCACTATATACCGCTTAGTTTGGTCAACAAAAGCAAATGTCATAGGAATATGAAATTCAAATATGAACATATATGGAGAAGGGTGCCTCTCTTAAATAATTCACAGAGGAAGTTTTGTCCATATGAGGAAGCCTGTAAAGACGCTCCATCAGTCAGGGTCCAATCAGGCTGCAGGCAATGTTTAATTGGACCTCTGTACCACTTCCACCAGGTCTTTAGCTTTTGATCATTGAGAAGTTCTTAGAAAAACCTGCCAGCGCAAAGCCCCCTGAGAGCCAGCAGCTGTCTAACTGCCGTTCCTTTCGAGAATGTGTGGGCCTTACTAATTATACACAATCACTGGGAGATCTGCACACATCTCCAGTCAGTTTGCATGTTCAAAGTATACATTCAATAACCAAACTGCCACGCTGTGCCGTAAAACGTCTGGAGGAAATTGGGCCTGCCCCTCCTTCATGCAACAGCGGTGTTCCTTCTCAGAGCAGCATCATGCATTTAAAAAGTTTATTTCATTGAGCATAAGGTTTATTGCATCAGTTTGTGGGGTTAAACTACTTTGACCACAAGGGTCCATGTAATCTGAAAGTCCAGGGTTACACAATTCAGGTCCTGGTAACTTTTCGTTTGAAACACATCTTAACTTTTGTTTTCGTTTGTCTTTAATTAGTTGGCTCATAATTTGCAAGTTGAGTAGGGGTCTTAGAGCAGAGGTATCTCTGACCTGTGCTGGACTGTAGCCCTTCAGAACCAGAGTTGTGTACCCCTGCATTAGTCTAAGCCAGTCCTGGAATAACAGTATTAGCTTGACTATAACTTTAGTAGGTAAAAATCAGCTTTTACAGCTTGTGTGCTTTTAGAAGTGTTTCTGACACACTAGAGAGAGAGTGCTTGAGAGAGAGTGTCACTGGTACCCTGATGGCTCTCGACCCCGTGCCTCTCCACTGGCCAAGAGTGGCGGGTGGAGGTGGATGGAGGACATGCAGCGTATGGGTGCAGGTAGGGGGGCCAGACACATGCCAGAGAGGAGGATGAGTGGCTGTCAAAAGGGAAGGGGGGGTCACCGGCAATATGGTGCCTCGTTCCTACTCAGACATCATTTTCCTAACGAGGTAAAGCATACGCCGGCTGATTGAAAAGTCTAATCTGTCATCCCCCTGCTCCGTTCTGCCACTGAGTCGGCAATGAGGCATGTCCCGGGAAAGATGTGGAAGCAAGTGTCATGCACCATGCAGTGAAACTGTTGTGATTCACTGTGACGAATGAGTGGGTGCTTGTTGCTGTGGTAAGTGGAAGGGAGATGGAGAAAATGGCTGGCTGGCGTCCTTGGAAACAGCTTTTCACAGTCAGCGCACCCTCCAGGACGCCATGTTCAGAGACAGCGAGCAAAAGTAGCAAGCAGGTGCACGAGGGTGGGTGGCTACAGTCTGGACAGACTGGAGACATGGGAGAGGGGGGTTTAATCCAAAATCGAGAGGAGAAAAGACCTGCTTCAAGGAGCGAGAGGGTAGAAGAAGAGGGGGTCGAGCCTCGAGAAGAGACCGGTCCAGCAGCCGAGGGAGCACTTCATCACGGATCCGGAAGTCAGAGTAGAGAGACAGGGTCACAGTTTAATGGAAAAGGAGAAACCACTACCTTTGGGCCCTGCCCACACAAAGCTACAGCAAGTTTAGTTGCGAGGTCAGATGAGGATATGGATTTGCCAAGTCACTGACCATCTTTAATGCCTTAGCCTAAATAGTAAGAGGGAGAAAATCAGGTTTTAGCCCGAATTTAGAATCAGAGATTTTAGGGGTTATGCTGATTTGAGAAAGGCAAATTCAAATTCATTCATTCAGAAATACAGTCATATGCAAAAGTTTGAAAACACAAATTATATATGTTGTTGATTTTCTGGTCACATTTTATTTTGATGGTCCCCTATAGATGATGCACAGATGCGTAAATTATTACAAATTTTACGGTGATATTTAGGGTAAGGATTAGGTTTAGGAGTAGGTGTAGGTTTTGTGCTGAAGTTAAGGTAAGGGTTAGGTTTAAGCTTAGGGTTAGACTATCACACTCAACTTCAAATTCAGTTGCATCAAATGGATATTTAGTTGAATGTTAGTTAAAGATAGACGGATCATCTACAAAACATCTACAGTGGACTGTCAAAATCAAGTGTTGCTTATTTTCTAAGTGAAAATAATTTTACACATCCTATACAGGGAACAAAGATCAATACATCATTTTACTGCAAGTTGTAGTGCAAATTATTTTTATCTATTATTACATTATATTATCTATTTATTTGCCAAGTAAAGCATATTGGAAAAAAAACAAAACATAAAATATAAAATGTGCCACAACTTTTGCAGAAGACCAATTTTACGTTTTTTTTTCCAATATATTAAAATAAACAAATAAATTGTAATTGTGCATTAAAATGTGCTTCTTGCAGAGAATGTGTACTTATTTTCAATTAGAAAATCAACTAAACACATAATTTTACCAGGGGTGCCAAAATGTTTGCATATGACTGTATGTATTTTAAGTTTAGTAAATAAATGTAATTCTATGTTTTAACTAGGGATGCACTGATACAGGAATTGTAGACTAAAACATGAACAATACATAAATATGTATAAAATGTAGTAACTGAGACTACATCCACCTGGATTAGCGTTACAGAGAAATGTAACGTTTGCTTGCAGAGGGTTACAAATGCAAAATAAAATTATATTTTAGTGCAATAGTCCAGTGTCAGCTAAACATTCTGCTATCCTACAATAAAGAGATAATCAATTATCGGTTTTGAAGTATCAGTGAAATTAAAATATCTGTCCAGTGCCAGCATTTTTTAAGCAAATATCTGAATACAGAATACTGATGAATCCGATATCATTGTGCATCACTAGTATTAACTAATTACATTTGAAGCCTCTGTTTTTTTCTGCACACTGAATATCTAGTCATTTCAGAATGCAGGTGGATAGTATGGGCAGGGCCTTGGTGTAGACTTGAGTCAAGTACAATGTACCAAATGTACAAGCTGGAATGCCCCCGTGTACTTAAGAAATAAATGCATCTGACAATACCTATTTAGTTATATGTAAACACTCAAAAATACTTCAAGTAATCCAGATGACATCTAGATTACATCTTAAATCTGCATTAGTCACAGTGCTGTTAGGCAGATGATGCTGAAACCACATGCAAATGTCTCATTCTACAAGAATGAAACAAATGAAATGATCCTAAGTTGCTGTCGCCTTAACATTATATCCTAAGAAGTCTTCCTACAAGACAAATACAATGTTCCATTTCTATATTACAACCAAATTCCTGTTTTCATATGTTGGGTCTCTTGAATATTCTGCAGTTATGAATCATGGCTAGCAGGTTCTGCACAAGCTCCTAGGATCATTTAGCTCTGGCTCATCTCTTTTATAATTAAATTATGCTGGGCCTCAGGGGGGCTACTAACCTATGCAATAATCTGAGGGTCATTCTTTCCTGTTCGCGGCTTCCCCTGTGCGTCCGAAAAGTCAAATATGCCCCTAACCAGCAACCTCCCACTGAACTATAAGAGAGTGCTCTGATGCGCAGGGAGTCGGAAGTCGAACAGAAGGAGCGGAGAGGTGTGGAAAAATGGGGGAGGGAGTTTACCTGGTGTCGTCCCACTCAGGGCTCAGGCCGGTCAGTGAGCCGCGCGAGTCAGACACGAACTTGTAGACCACGAGCAGGCAGTCACGGCACAGCTGCACCAAACGCTGGCAGCACTGCAGCTCCTGTGCCGTCACCACCTCAGTGCTCTTGCTGAAGATGCTCTCCCATGATGACCTGCTACAAGGCCAAGAACACACACAAAAAAAATTACAAATATTAATTTGGCTGTATTCTGCATTTTTCATATTTTATTTAGGGCTTTCAAACAGGTATGAAAGATGAATTGTGAGTAATCATGTTATTTTTATTTGTCATTTGTCTTATTTGGTCAGACTTGACCCTAAAGAAAGAGTGTTTTTCATTTAAAAAGCAGTGTGTTTTGTTACAGCTTCACTAATATGTATTTATTTTTAATAATTAATTCAATTACATTATTTTCATCATAGGAACGTAGAGTTCACATGAACTTTTCATGAAAATCGTGATTTCCATAGGGTAAACACAATTTCCAGTTTTCATTATCAAGGCTCAGTATGTGCAAGAGTGGCTGCATTGTTTAAAAAAAGGATGTATAGCATACATGTCATATAGTGGTTTTCATGCCATCCTCAAGACCCCACAGATGGTCCAACCCAACTCACAACACATTGGGATGAAGGAAAAATGTGGACTGTCTAGGGGGGCCCAAAGGACCGGGTTGGGAACGACTGATATATATGATGGTTCCAACTCCTCCATGGTTGTAGCATCTTGCTCTCATTCATACAGCTCACGGATTCTTGTTACAATGGAGGCTCTCGAGGGGAAACTGTACCACTTTTCATTTTCCACTTTTGTTAATTTGCAACTCATGTTTCAGTCATGTGACTTTTTATGTGCCATATTAATGGCTGTGTCTAAAACTGATCATCAGCACTGCAAAAATACAGTAATATGTTCAAAGAAATATAAAAAAGAATTGGTCTTGATTCACTAGTGATTTGAAGTCTTTAACATCACAGTGAACATACCATCCAACACACAAGAGACCGATTTATTTCCCTATTCAGACTCGAATGCTAACATTGCCGTTACAGAGCTAAAAGTACTTTCACACACTATTTTCTCATAACGTTTTAAATCTCTCTATATATGGATAAAGGCCTCTGTTAAACATTATGTTTACAGACTCATATGTAGCTGTATTCAGTACGCAGTCCACCCCTGAGCTCTGTGAAAGCCTAAACGTTATTAAAAGTAGCTACTGACGCTGTTGCTTCAGCACTGGATGGACGAGCAATACAATTTTGAAGAAGAAAAAAACTTTACATAAACAAGAGCAGGAATATATGTCATTATATATGAATAAAATTCAAAACTAGTGCAGTTCCCTTAGTTATCTAACATAAGGTGGAGCTTATGAGGTACAGCAACATTCAATTTCTATTTTTTAAGGCTGTTCTTGCATTAATCTGTAAAGCACATGCAATATATTTTGATTCTGCTGGTCACTAAAATAGCAGAGCGGTCATATAGTGATGTCACATGAACATGAACGAACAGGTCTCCCACAAGCACTGTCCAGGGTGCTGCCAGACAGTCTCCTGAAGGTACTGAAGGTATCGCTTTAAAGGCCATTTAAAATATGTATTTGATCGAGAGGGTGACAAGGGGATTCTATAATAGCAAGATACAGTGCATGCAAGCAGTTTGGCTTATGACTGCACCATTGTGGTAGTTTGAAGGGGCAAAACAAGAATAGGTTTAAAAAATAAATAATGGTGTTAATACTTCATCATATTAATTACAGCCCTAATCTTACTTTTTCCCCTGAGGTCCACATATAACATCTGTGTGGTTTTATCTACTAAAAACAGTCATAATTCATTTTAACACAACCACTTTACAAATTCTCTTTACCTCTTGAAATGAACCACGTTGTTTTTGATACTTTGCCTTTAAGCATCATATAGACTATCAGTGAAATGTTTAGACATCTACTCATAGCAAGGTTTTCTTTATTTTTAGCTTACTATTTTATTTATGTTAGAATAAAAATGAAGATATCAAACTATGAAATATCACATATGGAATTATGCAGTTAAAATTCAAAACTGTCTTGTATTTTAAAATCTTACTCTTGGAATTCTCTCCAGCAGCTTGATGTGTAGCTACTTGGAATACTTTTCTAACAGGCCCGAAGAAGTTTCATATATTTTGACATATTGTTGGAGAGAATTTCGAAAAGAAAATATTTAAAAATATTACTTTGAGGAATAAATTCACACATAGGCATGACCAGCAGTATTTATGCCTATAACAGCACAACGTTTAATCATAACTCTGCACCCCTTATCACTTCAACGACAACGGGTGGGCTAAACTGCTGTAGGATGAAGGGTGGTCACGGCTGTGATAAATTCAAGATTCCATAAATGGACTCTATGCATGGAGGGACTGAACAAAAAAGTTTTTAGAAACTTGAAGAGTTTTTACGCAATACATTGAATTCTTATATTTAAAAAGGCAAGAAAAATTCAGCTTTCCATGACACGGGCCCTTTAATGCAAAAATTAAGATGTTTGCAAAGGGGATTCAGTCGGCTCCCTAGGTCTTCCGTCTCACCGGGTGCCCAGGCAACTGTCAGAAAATTTTAAGGGTCTGGTCTTGAATAAAAGAGAAAACACTGTGCTAAAATAAAGTCTTTTTCTTTTCAAAGTCACTGGATAGCAGCGGAGATTGCGTTTGATTGTGGAGATGAAGGAATATAATGGCTGGGGATCTGAGGGTACATTACAGGCGAGGAGGCCTTCACAATGCCCCCCTGCCGAGCTTTCCTTCAAACTTGGCCTGCCCACGGCCTCCTTCACGCACCGGGCCCTGATTAAACGCCAGCAGCATGGGGTGCTTAGCACCATCACTAATCCCCTAGCACCACATACACTCTCATCAAGTTGAAATAAACCTGGGCGGTAACACATCTCTAAGTCTGTCAATTACACATATGAGTGGGCTGTAGAAAAAACCTTTTGGACCCCCTGTGCTGCTTAGACAAGGAATAAATAGAGGGATAAAAGTGATCGCAGCTTCATCAGCATTGGTAGACGAGTGTGTTTGCAGCAGGTAGCTCTGGGAGGTGCTGCAATTATAATACATGTGATTCTACTTGTGTCTCTATGTTCACTTGAAAGTTTAAAAGAAGATAACTGTAATAACTGACCATTTACCAGCACAATTATGGAATTCAAATATGCTAAATCTGAACTACACTCAAAGAGAGATCCAGTATTGCTAAACAGAAGGTTACAGTAGAGGTGAAGAAGCTAGGCTAACCATAGCAAGAGTTCTGTCAGTGACATTTGTTACCTAAAACCTTGAAAGCCCTTTATATTGGAAAGGTATATGGAAAAATATGTGTAAGTATTCATATGTGCATTCTATGATTCTTTATCACGCTGGCTACCACCAATTCTGCTTAGCAGAGGTCTTCTTTCATTGTTCATTTTGAGTTTACCCTTTTCCTTCATTTTTGCGAAATGTTGGCAATAAAATGTAAACCACACAGTCGTATGCAAAAGTTTTGGCACCCCTGGCCAAATGATGTCTACAGAGAACACGCTTCTCCAAATTTGAATGCACAATTAATGTTTATTTACTTAATATAAAATAAAAAACAAAACCAACCTAAAATATGGTCTGTGTAGAAGTCATTGCATATTTTATATATGTTATGTTTTACTATTTTCCAGTATGTTAAACTCAAGCAAATAAATAAAAACTATGCATTACAATTAGCAGAAAAATGTCAAATCTAAGTTTGTTCTCTGTAGAGGGTGTGTTAACTAATTTTCCTTGTAATGAACAAAACATGCAATTTGACCAGGGGTGGTTAAACAGATTACAAGTGCAGATTTCCTCTACAGTTTGATTTTTAGAATGTGTTACTTGACCTCGATGCGCCTAAGATGACAACTTTTATTGACACGTTTTTTTTTTTTTTCAGGATTTGGTCTCCCATTAGGTCACATTATTTTATTGTTGTAATCATCAAATAAGTGTTATTTACAATACTGTGCAAAGGTTTTAGACACCTGAGAAAAGTACTAATATTAAAATAAATACAAATAACACAACAAGTAGTGATTTTATGTATTACAGGAAGTGCACCATGTCCAAACTTGTGTCAGTCTGGTATTATTTGTATTTAGCATCCAAAATGTAGTTTTGCTAACCAATGCTTTATTGAATTAAATCTGTAGAGCTGGGATTGGATTTGAACAAATCTATGTTATGGCTGGGGATGTCAAGGAAAAACCTGTAACTAAACTGCTTGCTTGCTTGCTTATTTATTTATTTGTTTGTTTGTTTGTTTATTTAATTGTTTCATTTTTAGGAATACCAAAAAGTTGATCAATGGTAAATAATATACTGTAAATATCTATTTATAGCAATTAAAAATCATCTATAGCTCTGTTCATAATTGTGGACACATTCACATTTCTTCATTTTTACAACTTCCTACAAATTACTTAAAACCTGTGAAACTGTAGAATAGAAGCACCTTAATAGAATCATTTTAAACATGTACAGTGGGGTCCAAAATCTAAGACTACACTAAAATAGAATTTTGGAAATTTTAAAGAAGAAAAAAAATAAATAAAATGAAGGGATGTAAGCAAATTTGTAACACTGAGCATGCTAATGCCTTTGTACAAAAGGTCAGTTTCTCTTCTACTGAAGGACTCTTCCATAGAAGTTCGTGTTTAGACAACTCTTCCGTAGATTTACTCATCAGATGCGGCTGCACATTAAATTAAAAATGTCATTAAAGCAAAAGGGGGCATAACAATTAATCAGAAATTCTAAAATTCTATAATACAAAGGTTAAAATTCAAAGATTGTACTTTTCACTCAAATCATGTTGATTATATAATTTGCAATTAAAAAACTACGCATTAAATTAGATAAGAAAGCAAAATAGATGCATTTTCCTTAGTGGGCACAGACTTTTGGACCCCACTGTATCTGCAAAAAATTTTATTTTTTATTAAAAACAGAGATTCCACACTTTTGAACCGTGATTCCAGACTTCTGAATAGAATGGTATGAAAAAAAAGGCTGGAGAGCTGCTTACCCAGAGCTGCAGAAGCAGTTCCACAGGCCTTGACCATGACTCCAGAGCAGGCGATTGAAGACACGGCTGAAAAGGCGATAGAGACGTAAACTGTCGACATCGGGCTCCCTCCAGATTCTTTGCAGCACTGAGCGAACGTTAGTGCGGACGATGTCCAGGACCTTCACATGGGAAGCATATGGATGAGATGAGGATCAAACAGGCACAGCTTAAACACAGCCTGCATAACTTCAGAGTTGTGGTAAAACTTATCTCTGTATCTCTGAAATGGAAACTTTGTAAGAGAATGGACAAACATTCACTTTTCTTTGTACAGTAAGGCAATAAACATTATCATGCAGGTTCTTTGGAGCATTTCTATTGGCCCATCACGAAATGTTCACACAAAGTGAAGGGCAGCTTGTGTTTTCAAAGAGGAGAAAAAGAAACTGAGTTATGAGGATTTGATATGACAGTGACATCAGTAACTGAGTTCTGAGTCCATCTGAACTCCTGTGGTTGCAATCATGCACCATGCAAGGTCTAATGAAGATAGCAGGTCTGTAGTGACTTGAAGAGAGAGACAAAGAGGGAGAGAGACACTGAATCTGGTAGTTGGTGGTGGATGGAAACAGAAAGGCTGAAAGAGGAGCGGTAATTGCTTGCAGACGTCAGTCTCAGGCGAAAGTTCTTGCAGGTTGAAGGACCCTAGCACCTCTTCACCAGCTAGTGGCTTGGAGCCTTGGACTCCTCACAGCTGATTGGTGACTGTCTGTCATGTGATACGCCAGATTTAATGGCCTTGTGTGGGATGGCAAAAACTCTTCTCAGAATGATTCCTCAAGCTTCAGCTGATAATCAGCTTGTGGGACACGACAATGCCTGCAGTCAGTCGAGCTTCATTATAGCACTGCCATGCTGATCCCCCAGTACAGATTCCACAGAGAAGGTACCTGAGACCCAATTCTAGCAAAAGGCACAGCAGGCAACCAAGTGAACGACTCTCTTCTACTCAGTGCCAACTTGCTAAGCCAACCTCCTCTGCCAATGGCGAAAGCATCTCCAGCTTTTTCAGCCTTACGCCCAGTTGTATAAGTCATTGTGGGTTTATTATCCGTGGCATATTGTGCAGAACACAAGAAGCTCAAAAAGAATGCGCTGCCTTTCAAAAAGCTGCATTGTAACGTGCCACCACCAAGCATCCGAACCACATTTTCAGGATTCCACAAGTTCTACCACAAACCAACACTCAACAACCCACAACTAAGCTGCATTATTTTCAAGTTGCTGGCATAATGTGCAAGGGAAGAAAACTAATGTCGTCAATCCTGGGTTGCAAGGCTTTAGAAAGCTTTCTGTATTACACTGAAGGACTAGCCAAGATAAGCACTGAGGTCCTCTTTGCATCACGCTTCATAAACCATTTAGAACTTAATGGTACACAGCAGTCGTGTGTTCAGCTACATAACACCAAAGAAAGTCACACTTATCAAGAAACCGCAGTTTCCTTATTTGTGTTAGAGCAAGGAAAATTAAGTCTGCTGTACATTTAGACAAGACAGGAGAACACACAGTCCAGCCAATTGTGAAAAGAGAGTTTCTGCAATGATCTAATAGCAAAAAAGGTGAGGACAGCTGTTACTTAGCAACACAGATGTGAAATTCTCACATTAATAATGCATTCCATTATTCTGAAAAAAAGGTGACAGGAGTTGTATAAACTCCTTAAATTTAAGAAATGTGTGAAGTTTTACAAGCACAAAATGATTGAATCATCTTCAGGATTTCACATGCAAATTTTAGGTTATGTAGAGTTTAATGCAAATTTTTTTTGTCAAACTTTTTTTTTAAAACACACTTCTGCACGTTTTAATACACAATTACTGTTTATTTGCTGAATTTAACAAAATGAGGGAAAAATTAAAACATTTGGCACAAAAGGTTATGACACATTGAGTATGTTATGTTTTATCTTTTCCCAATGTGTTAAATTTAGCAAATAAATGGAAAATGTGCTGTATAATTAGCAGAAAATTGAAACACTTATGTTCACCATAGAGGATGTGGTATTTTATGTTAAGAAATCTACAAAACATGTCATTTGACAAGGGGTGCTCAGAATTCTGCATGTTACTGTAATTTAACCAGGGGCACCAAAACCTTTGCATGTGACTTTAAACTGGGTCATACATAATAATAATAATAATAAGAAGAAGAAGAAGAATATGTAAAATAGTAATCCAAAGTACTACCATGACCAGAAAACATCAAGTACCTTAACAGAAAAGAAATATTTCATATATACAGGACTGTAAGCAAGTTTTAGACAATTGAGAAGATTAAATTTAAAATGCTATTTATCTAGGCTATTAGTGTTTATTTGCTTAGAAAAACTCTAATATTACAATAAATACAAATAACATTAATATAATAAACACTGATTTTATGTATGTGCTCATTTAACTATTTCCAAACCTCTCCTCAAGGCAGCTCAGTATCATTTGTTCAATCCAACACCTGTTTTGACTGATCAATGCTTAATTACAATAAATCAGTGTGTGCTGGTGTTGGAATTTAACAAATCCATGCAATGGCTGGGGGCTTCAAGAATAAATCTGAGATAACAACTCCTTTAAAAAAAAAAATCATGTATTTGTGTTTTTATGCATTTATTATAATCATATAAGGTGGTTTTACAAGCAAAAACACACTTACTGTCAAGACAAATGGTTTTAAATAACGTACTTAGGGGGCAGTAGAGTGCAGCACTTCTCCACAGTACTGTATGTATTAAAAATTATTTTAGTCATTGTTGTCCTTAGCTGAGCAGCCTAAACAAGTGTACGTACAGCATTTGTGTTGGGGTTAAGACCTAGTTCACCAGAATCATAACAAATGTATTTAATAACAGCAAAATCACAGCTAAAAAAAATCTCATTTTAAAATACCTCCTTTTTTTCCTGTTAACTCCTGAACTGCAAAAATATCATCAAGCGCATGCAGCAAAAATCTCTAAAAGTAAAAAAAAAGAGCCATTATTCTATGAAAAGCCATATTCACTTGCTCTTGATGGGGTCAGACCCTTAAAACAGGCTTCTTGACGTTTCTCTACCGTGATGTAAGACTGCTGATATAACAGTTCTAAAATCAATCAGCAGTATTTGTCATATTTTGACCTCATTATACATTAAAAAATGGCACTCTCACTTCTCAAATTCAAGTTTCAGTGCACTCAAACTTAAAAAAGAAAAAAAGTTTTAATTGCATGCTCAATATTCTGGAGTGCTTAGCAGAGAGAAATGAGAACATAAAGTGATTCTAACCTGCTGATCCTTTATAAAGCAAGTCCACTGTCTACATCTCTCAATTCATACTCCATTAGATTTATTCATGAAAAGTCTGCCTTTTGCAAATTAACATTTAATTAGTTGATTAATTAGTATTGAGTATTGATTTTGTTTCTAATGGGACCCACTTAGAGTCACAATCACTTCCAAGTAAAAATGACTCATTAAAATGAATGATTGGCTGTCGAAATACAGGTCAAATATTCCTTTTACTGCACTCAATATCATGCTTATTGTAGCTTAAATTATTATTTCTAAATGAAACCTTGTACGATACTTCACCTTTCTTTGTTTGGTGGCATCTAACTTCACCAGCCAGTAAGAAGCCACTTTTGGTTTATGATATTTCCAGTTGTTCAAGATCTGTAAGAGACAAAAAAAAAGAATATTGTATTCATTTTGTGCTAAATGACAAAATTACCAATGCTCTATCAGTCTTTCTTTACTAGTTATAGTAAAGTGAAAAAGTCAGAGACCCTTCCTTGTGTTCAATTAGCAACCAAAACAACAATTAAGTCCATTTTAATTATTTTTCTGCATCAGGAAAAAAGCAGAAAAAAATACAGTACTGCGGAAAGGTCTCAGGCATTTAAGCATTTAAGCACATTGTTTAAAATCATTTATCTCAGCAGTGAGAGCTTGTTTTCTTGGAAATTGTATCACCAGTACCCTTAATTTACCAAAAAGATGCACTGATTAAACAAACCAGATTTTTAATGATAACTACAAATAATATTAAGCTGCCACAAGCAAAGGTTTGGAAAGGGTTAAACAAATACATTAACATATGTAAAAATCCTTCTTAGTGTATTAATATTACTTGTATTTATTCTAACTTTAGTGTTTTTTTGAGCAAATTAATGCTTATCATCCAGGTAGTTTATAAATCTAAATGTGAGTGCCTAAAACATTTGCACAGTACTATATATTTACCAAAAAAATACACAGAAAGTTCAAACATAGACTACTAGATTTTTAACATCTAGTTTGGCTTTATTACCCTTTGACTTTATTACAGCTTCCATTCTTTTTGGGTGACTCCAAAAAATCAGCAGCGATATTTTTCCACATCTCCAAAGTTCAGTCTTACAAATTCATTGCATTTTATTTTTTTCACAATCCAAGTAACCCAATTACAAACTTAGACTCATCACGTCTCATGTCATAATGTCTATTTTCCTTTTCGCAGCTTCTTGACAGCTACACATCCTTTCAGACTCATAGCGCTGGGCTGTCTTCTCACAGTGTAAGGATGGACAGAAACACTTGTGGATTTTTTTCAGATCTGAACCAAGAGTGGAGCTTGATTTTCTCCTCTCTCTCAAAGATGAAAGCTTTAAGTGCTGTTTATCTGATGGGGACAGTTTTGGTTGTCTACCAGGTCTTGATCGGTCATTAGGACCATTTAGGTTTTGTTGGGAGCTGTAACTTGTTTTCAAGACTGAAAAGGATGGAAGAGTTAAAGTGATGGTAGGTGCTCAAAAATAAAGAGAGGACAAATTAAATGCTGATAGATTTGATAATACACTCAGTGTTGGAGGCTTTTGTATAATTTTCTGTTAAATATATTTTTCCTGTTGAAAGCGAAAAATTAATAACTTGTACTTAATGGCCATTTATACTGCAAACTAAATAAACTAAAGTGTGGTTTCTGACTATTGCACAGTACTGTACATGACAGTATAGTCGGTACATAATTTTTGCAAGTTGATTCCAAAGTAAAGTTCAGCAAAGTTGTTTTTACTTTCTTTCAGCTGTTTTATTGTTCAGCACTTGACTGCACAGCAAAATCAATGCTTCTGCACCACACATGCATAAAGAAAGACAAAGCTTGACATAATCAAAGAGGCCATGCTAAAAGCCTCAACCAAAGTCATGTTCCAAAAAAGAAAGCTATAATACGCAATGACCTTCCAAATCCAGCGCTGTACCGAAAAGAAAAAAATAAATAAACACAATAGCACCGCTGTGTTCTTTTTCCTCGTTCATGCTGCAGCGAGAAATCTGTAAAGAAGGACCTTGAATTAAAACAATAGATCCACTCAGGCTTCTCTGCCCTCTTTATTCATTTTTACTAAGCTCAACATTAGGTAGGTCATAGATCGATCTGAATGTGTGAATACATTGAGATTATTATAAATAAAAAAGCACTCTCTGCTTATTCTTGCCCCCCTCCCCACAGTCGGCATCTCGCATACCTGAGTTCCTCGGCTAATATTCCTTTACCATTCTCCAATGGATTTGCAAATCAAACGAGTCTCTGACTTGTTACTACACAGAGGAAACGAACCATGGGTATGTTTAGAATGATGATTGCAAAGCATGCATTAAATTCATCTTCTTGGATAAATCATTAATAATTAATTTAGACCTACAGCTGTTTCATACAAATCGGCAGGCCGTAAATTACACGGATGCACGCAGATATCTAAATTACAGTGTTCCACTTTCTAACTTGTGTTACTTGCAAGAGAGTTTTGTAAATGTAATTAATGGACTTCATTTTCGCAATAATTTTGTAAGGAACTGGGAGCCCTTTTGATTTACGTTCACTTCTGGAAAGGCTTTGTTTTTGTTTCTCATTCTATGAGATGCACTGTAAATACAAAAGTGGAGAATTTTTGGTTAAATGTCTCCCTTTTGAACTGCAAGTGTAATAACATGATATTGGAAATGGTCTCAAACAGGTGCTGCTGCCCAGCTGTGTTTCCGCGGCAACAGCTAATAGCTCTCATTAACCATACAGGTGGACGGCTAATGACGCCACGTACGACGAGAGACAGCACTAACAGTACGGGCACCGTCCTCCACAAATGAGCAGAGGGAGCAAGGGGAACAGGCAGAGAGCCAGCCGGAGGGGGTGTGGAGAGCCTGGGGGGAGAACGAGGCCTGAATCCCCTCCTCCTCTGGAGCTCTGAAAAGAGAGGCGCAGTAACTCATCACTCTCAGAGCGTCGGAGAAACTCATCTCGCTCAGAATGATGCAGAAACTCACCTTACTCTGTGGCACAAAATCTCACCTTACTCAGAGTGGCTCAGATGCCCATCCCGTTTAAGCTGGCACAGAAACTCGCCTCACCCAGAGCCGCACAAAAACTTACCTTGCTGAGAGCAGCGCAGAAACTGACCTCGCTCAGAGCGGGCCCAGAAACTGACCTCGCTCAGAACGGCTCAGAAACTGACCTTGCTCAGAGCGGCCCAGAAACTCAGCTCGCTCAGAGCGGCCCAGGAACTCAGCTCGCTCAGAGTGGCCCAGAAACTCAGCTCGCTCAGCGCAGCCCAGAAACTCAGCTCATTTAGAGCGGCCCAGAAACTGACCTCACTCAGAGCAGCCCAGAAACTGACCTTGCTCAGAGCAGCCCAGAAACAGACCTCACTCTGAGTGGCCCAGAAACTGACCTTGCTCAGAGCAGCCCAGACACCCTCCTCATTCAGAGTGGCAGAGAAACTCACCTCACTTGGAGAGACACAGACACTCACCTCTTACTAACTCAACTTCCTCAGAACAGCACACTAACTCACCTCATTCAGGACGGCCTCCGCTTCCTCCTCGCTCTTTCCTGGGAATCGGATCCTCATCTCCCCCAGCGCAGCCAGCGTCTGCCGCGTCAGCTCCGCCTCCTGCTCCTTACTCCTCACATTCAGCAGGGACTCTCCCTGTCACGCACACACACACACACAAACACACACAAGGCAACACAACGCAATGAAGATGAATTAGCGAGTCCTGTCTTTTCCCTTCCGTCATCAGCTTTTCCTTCCTCGTGCTCTCTGCAGGTCTGGCTGGTTGTGGAGCTCAGCGAGGCGAGGATGAGGCCTCTGCAATTAGAGCCGCACGCCTGCTTCTCCTGCGGGAAGCGGCTATCGCTCAGTGGTGGCCCCAGGAGCTGCCTGGGCCTCGAGTGGCCTGCTGTGCTGGATGAGCCCAGGTGACTGGAGGCTGGCTCAGTGTGTCACAACTGTCAGGGTGTTAGACGGAGTGTGAAAGCACTAGTGCTACTCTGACTGTGGGACATCTTAACCCTCAGCGAAAGAGTGCTTAAGCAGAGAAGCACCACTGGGCAGAGGTGGGGGCAGAGAGTTTGGGGGGCAAGTCAGATTGACATGGAGAAAATAGAGTGTGAACTAATGTGTGTGTGTCAATAGGAGGTGTGTGTCTTAACACTTAGAGAAGGTCATTTCCTCATACGCTGCTGTAAGGAATTCACACCTAAGGAGGTGTATTTAACTAGGGATATCCTGACCCTGACCCCAGTCCTGATTTGACATTAGTATTTTCAAAGATAATACAGTTGCACAGTGCACATTTCAAGTACATTAAAGTCTGTAAAAACCAATCCAATTAAAGTAAAATATGCAAGACCAGGGGCTGGCTGCACCAGCTGGACGCAAGTTCAAACGTAGGCTAGTTATAATGTATGTGTAAGTTCATGTTTATACATTACTAAATCAGGTTGTACCACATGACACTTGTTTCAATGTTGAGCTTATTAAATACTCAATATTTACTCCACCTAAGCAGATGTAAATGTTGGGGAGCAAAAAAAAAAAAAAAACACACAGACAACAGCCTTTTTTGGGTAACTAAGCTAAAAACACTAAATGCTATTTGCTGTGATTTTACAGCTCAAATCATCACTCTGGTTTAAACTTCGAACATAAGACTAACACCCTCAGCTCTCGTTCAGCAAGACTCTAAATGCCTGAAGCTGCTGTTGGGCTGGTTGGCCGGAAACCATTGTTTAAAAAAGCTTCATATTTGGTTGTTAAAAGGAAATATTAAAGAATTATTTTAGCTGTACATACTGTATATTTGTACTTCAGTACTTGAATGTATCTGTACTTCTCTCCCATTACACATCATTTATATTACTTGCAGACTGTTTCTGTACTGTCTATTTTATGTTTATAAATACATATTTTTCTATATTTATTTTTTTGGATTGAATTTTATGTTGACACATGCACACGAGAAATTCCTTGTATGTTTGGTACTTGGCCAATAAAGATTCTCTTTGTGATTTTTTGTGATTTTGTGAAGTTTTTAGCTTTTTTCAGTTATTGTGTACACATCGCTCTTTTTTATAGTGGATATTTTTTCTATAGAAAAAGTCCATGGCAGCAAGTTTACTGATCATTTCTTGACATGTTATTGTTATGTTAAAACGTCGTACACATGGGTTAGTTTTTACAAATAAGACACGATTCAAGGATTCGTAGTGCAGTTAGTCCAAGCATAGGAGGAGGTTTAAAACTAAACAGTGTTAACTAAGGACTTTCTGTAAAGACTGTTAAGTAAAGACTTCATGCATCAGCTTAAGTAAAAGCTTACAAAAAACAGGTTCAGGGGTGCCAAAACCTTTTGTCTTAGGGGGCAAAAGTTCAATGTTTAAAGTGGCCCAATGGCTTACAAACAAACCAATATACAAATAATGAAGGTAGGTAGGTTTCAAATCAAATTTTAGAAAAATTGTAGGACATTTTTATAAGGAAATTAAGAATTTAATAAGCTACAAGTTGAATAAAAATATGTTTGTTCTTGGTGAGGGTGTGGGGTTAGGGCGTTGGGGCCACACTCTGGACAGTCTGTGACTATCTATTACTTTAAAATGCCACAGTAAAAAGCACTTCATGTTTAGCATGGGCATAATGTGAAACTCTGAACTGCTTTTTTAAATGACAGGTTTGTGATGTCTTCAACATGCTACCTTCACATAGAGTTGTATGCAAAAGTTTGGGCATTCTTGGTCAAATTACTGATTTTGACTTTGCAGACATCCACTAGAGAGAACACATTTTCTGCACATTTTGATGCACAATTATTTTATGTTTGCTGAATGTAAAACATTAGAATATATCTTTTCTAATATATTAAACCCAGCAAAATCAATAAAAATTATGCAGTACAATTAGAAAAATACCATAGTTGAGTGTGTTCACCTATAGAGGATGTAAAAAGCAACAAAACATATAATTTGACCAGGGGTGCGCAAACCTTTGAAAATATGCTTTTCTTAGCTTTGAACACAATGTTACTTTTACTGCTAAGTGTAAGACCTGGCTACCAAAAGACAGCTAGCTTAGCAGCAGCTGAAGCACTGGCATTACAACTATTGCAAATGTCTGCTGGGCTGTTTTCATTTTGCACTTTTTTTTTGCACTTTTTTCTACATATTTATTTGTTGTCATTAAATCCACCACACCATCCAATCCAAGGAAGGGTTTAGAGACCCTCTCACACCACTTTTCTCTCTAAAAACAACATTGCTGAAAACTTCATAACATTTTAAATCAGACATTTTTAAAACAAGATATTTTTTAAGATCAGTGTAGACTTCCTAGAAAAGGTTTTCGTAGGCAGTAGTGACAAGGCCAGAGACACTTGAGAAATATCAGGATGTGGCTCTATAGATACTGCATGCTAGAAACACATACTGAAAAATGGAAACAGACTTGTACATATTAACAACAGAGATTTCCAGTGACTTTCATAAGCTAAAAAGTTTTGTTCAGATTATTTTTTTGAATTGTTTTGTTTATTTTCATCAGCTTCTGAGTAAAAATGTGGAAAAAAGTTTTTTTTTTATTTCAGGTACGAAAAGTTGAGTTTGTGCAGAATCAGAGCATATGCATCTCTTGATAATGGTGTAATATATCGCCAGGTTACAGCTGAAAATATAAAGATATTCTCTGCCAGCCCCTGTTAGGCTTAGGTTCTAAAACAGGGCTGCACAAAGTATGGCCTGCAGGCCAAAGTTGGCCTGTGAGGGTGTTTGACTTGGCCTGCTGAAAGAAACCCCAATGCTTCAGCCAATGAAAGAACAAACATATCTTTATACCATATGTAACTTACTAAATTTTTATTGTCCTTGTAAAATTGTATTTTTAAGCATTTTATCAACAAAATACGGTTTACTGTTACCATTCTACCATCTTAATTTGCATATCTATGTATGTTTTGTCTTTTGGCCACTGGCCCACCACAAACACTGCCCTTTGGCAAACATTGCACTTTGTTCTCAAAGACAAAGTGTTTGGGCACCTCGTTCTAAAGGGTTAAGAAAGGGTCAGAATTTGATTGGGCTTCACTTACCTGATACCGGTCCATCCAAATATACCTTGATTAGCTTGAAGACCCTTATCTTAGACTTTATGTGTGTGCTAGTCATCATTCAGGCTGTGTGTGCGTGTGCGCGCGTGTGTGTGTGTGTGTGTGTGTGTGTTATACTTGCCATGTTGGAGTGGATGGTGCCCAGACTGCTGCTGTGGGTCACTCTGTGGGCGGAGCTGTTGCGGCTGAGAGAGTGTGAGCGTAGAGCTGTGTGTGGACGGACTGGTGGCGTGGGTGGAGCTGAAGCTGCAGCCTGGGCTACTGCCACACCACCGCTGCCCTTTAGTACTGGACCCCTGCTCTCGTTGGTGGGAGACTGAGCGATCATAGAGGAGATGGATCGTGGGCAGGAGACAGAGCGGCGTATGAGTCCCGAAAGAGCCGGAGAAGATGCTGACCCCGCTCTTGCGGGCTTGGGCGAAGGCTTCCAGTGAACACGACCTGTAAATAGAAGAAACAAAAAAAAACAAAACAAAACAAAACAATGTTTTGCAACAGCAGCAGAATCAAAAGTACATTGCCTACATAAACTATATGACCAAAAGTTTGTAGCCAGCTGCTCATCCAACGTTTCTTCTAAAATCAAGAGTATTAATAGGTAATAGGAATTTTTTCCACCTTTGCTGGATTAAAAGACTCTTCTGTGAAAGCTTTCCACAAGATATTCAAACACTGCTGTGAGGATTTGATTGCACTCAGCCACAAGAGCATTAGTGAGGTCAGGTACTTGAGTTTGATGATTAGTTCTGGATCAAAAATTCACTTCGAGGCCAAAGGTATTTGATGGTGCTTTATCACCACAGAAAATAGAACTGCACTCTTCTTTCCCTGCTAGTTGACGCTTGGCACTATGCATGGTGACCTTAGGCTCATGTGTAGCTGTTCCAGAGAGTCCCATTCTACTGGAAATGCTTTTCTATGGAGATTATACAAGCTGTGTGTGCGTAGCTGAACACCTGTTTTGGCAAAGGCTGCACCTTAAAGTAGCAGAAATCATTAAAAAAAGGAGTGTCTGGAAACTTTTGGACATATAGTGTAGTATGGAAGTATGGTTAGTGGTATTTCACGCCTTTTATTTCATTTACATGCAATTTGTGACTGCATTCGTGAGATCCTGCTGGTGTGAGTTTGTGCAAGTTTCCTCCCTTTCAATGGTGCATATAAGAGTTGCTTGAGTGCAATTAGCACTCCCTTGTGGAGAATTCTCAGCCTGCTAAACATGAGTAGATGAGTTACAAGCCATGCCCATTGGGTGCTTTGCATCTAAAAAAAACTTGCAAGAAGGTATAGATATTTCTATCTACATACTTAGCAGACGCTCTTATCCAGAGTGACTTACAACGGATGACAGATGTAGCATTAGAATTGCATTTAACCTTATTTTAACTATTTTATTTGTGTATATGTGTGCATACAGCTACTACATGAGCAGCACTTTTCGCATACGTTTAAAGGGTTAAAAGCTATATCCACTAGGGAGAAGGTCAGCTCTGAGACAACCATGTCTCGCTTTCAGAATACCTTTCTTGACTACTTCTCGTCATCAGTGAATATGGCAACAGTTGTCAGACAGAGACAGAGAGCATAAAGTGGTTTTCGTCATGGTTTGTTTAGTCCTCTGCTGACATCATGTCATATCACATATTCTGCCCCCAATGTTGGGACAGCATCTTGTGGATGTGCAGCATTAATTTCTGAGGATGTGCACAACCAATGCTTCAAATGGACGCACATGTTGCACACATGTACGCATAGTTATAATGAAGCATAACTGTGTCCTTAGGAATCAAATAGCTCTTATTGGTATAGCACTGGCATCACTACTTGATCAAACTTTTGATCTTTCATGGGGCACTGGTGTTATCCACTATGCCATCTGACACAGCAATAAAGCATTTGACCTAAATAACTGAGCTCCGCAAGGGATGTCTGTGCTCTCAGACACAGACACATACACTCTGAGAGGCCTGGATTGCTGCATAAATGAAGTGTGGCATCAGAAATCCCCTTCTCTGACAAATTCACAAAGAGCATCGACTGTGGCTTTCATTAATCACAAAAGCATGTGTCGCTCTTACTGGCCCGGGCTGCCGCCGTCTCTGCAGCTCCGGATTAGAGCAGCGGCGGCTCTTGCCCACACACACAAACCCGGCGCACGCTGAAGCGTTGAACGACCTCCAGCTTGTCTGCCGGCCAGCAGGCCTCGCTGCTCCGCCCGTGAATCTTGAGGGACGGAAGTTGCCAAGTCGTACGCATTATAGGGGCTTAGCTTAGGCCACCCCCAGATGGGCATTGGAGGGGGGGTGGGTGGAGGGGGGTGAGGGTCAAAGTCACTCCAGTATAACTCGCACTCCTGACTCGCTCACCCGTCAAACCTCAGCCAAACCACTGCTTTGTCCTTCATTCTGGAGCTAATGGAAAAACTGGAGGGTTGGCCGCTTGTTCAAGCAAAAAAAAAAAAAGAATCTATACACAATCCGCCCTGACTGCGTGACACTTTAATACATTCAGACACATGGGGCGATAGCAAGACCTGGAGAGAGAGAGAGAGACGCACAGAGACAGACACAGAAAGAGAGAGACAAAAAGAGAGGGATGAAGAGAGAGTCAAAGAGACAGAGAGAGAGAGAGAGGACGAAGAGAAAGAAAAGAGGGAGGAAGAGAGAGTTGAAAGAGACGAAGAGAGACAGAAAGAAACAAGAGAGTGAAATACAGAGAGAAGCAGAGAGAAAGAGACGAGAGTGAAATTGACATGAGACAGAGAAAGAGATAGTAACAGAGACAAAAGATAAAGAGAGACAAATACTGAGACAGAGATGAAGAAGATAGAGAGAGAGAGCAATAGAGAAAAATGGAGATAAGAGAAGAACAAGAGAGACAGAGAGATGAAGAAAAGAGGGAAAGAGAGAGCAAAAAGAGCAAGAAAGACAGAAAGAGAAAAGAGAAAAAGAAAAGAGAAAAGAATGAAGAAGAGAGAGAAAGAAAGAAATAAGAAGAGAGTGAAATACAGACAGAAGCAGAGAGAGATATTAAGAAGAGATGAAGAACAGAGGTAGAAGGATAGATGAAGAGGAGATACAGAGAGAGAGGAAGAGAGCAAACTAGAGTTATAAAGAACTACACTGCATGTTTCTATGGACTCTAAGGAATGCAGAAGTTTTAAACCTTTCTACCTGAGAAAAAAGTCACAGCTTTTCAAGGGTTTGTTTTGTCCAGTTTTCAAGGTAAGCCAAAAGCACTTCCCTGAAGATCTCCCCGAACTGCACTTCGCCCAAGCTGAGACCCCACTCTCCTTTTAGACTAGTGGACTGAAACACATCAAAAAAGCTCATTAAGGCTACTGTGTATGGGAGCCCAGAGAGCTCTCAAGCTATCACCCGCTACCGCTGGCCAGTCAAATTAAGAGCCACTGCACTGCGCCATCAGATCCTGTGACCCTAATTAAAAAAGATGGATTTTGCCTGTTTCATGTATTAATTAGGTAAACAAACGCATTACACTAGATTTACATCTGTAAGTTAAGGTTTTGCTGGGCAGCTGACGCCACTGGATTGCACAATTGCACCTACAGTTGGTCTGCCCGCTGAACGACTTTTGAGCGTATGTGACAATGGCAGAGGTTTGTTTAAGTAATTAAGGACCTCTTGTGGTCATCTGGAAAGCATCGGGGGAAGATCTCTGATTGAGGACTGTGATATACAAGAAAGAGGAAAACAGAGCAATGTTTTAGCAGACTGGAGACTACTCTAACTGGCCCCCATTGAGCACTAGAGGTGGGTGTGGTTATTTAAATATCAGAATACATTGACCTCTTTCTTTAATTGGTTTTTGAAGGTATGTGCTTGTGATGAGCTTAGAAAAAAAGATGTAAAAAGATCAAGTAAACCTTGTGATGTTTTTGACTGAGCGTGTAACACAGAACCTATATATGGAAACCTTTCGAATTGATACAGCTGTACAAGTTACTTTGTAGGTTAACTGGTAGTATTAAACCACTACAAACACATTAAAATAAATACAGAGAAAATGGTCAAAAAGAAGTGACAAAGCTACTATGTAAAGGAGAAATAGTGATTAAAAATGTTGTTTGTTCCCTTTACTCATCCACACCGGTCAGCACACACGAGTTCAAACATTTTAAGCACAGTGAAAAGAGTAAACATTAGACAAGCCGTTTATAATCACTGTTCATGTCGAGTATTAAGAGGGGTCAAGAACTTCTCCATTACAGATTTGGCACAACTTGAAAACATGACATCCTGCTCCATACGCACAATACAGCAAAAAACCAGCACACAGATGCCATCTGTAGCCTTAGTTTTTGAAATGATGAGTGCAAAGTATAAATTAAAAAATGGAATTCACTGCCTTGGAACACCAACTGTTTTCTGTAATTGAGGATGTTGAATTTTTGAATTTTGTGGTTCATTCACTGTATAAAATATATATATATATATATATATATATATATATATATATATATATATATATATATATATAAGTCAACTTAAAATGTTTAGGCTTACTTCATGGCTTTTTAGAGCTAAATCAACTTGAAAGTACTGGTAAACTGATATTCCTGTTTGAGTTAACTCAAAACAGGTGTAGTGTTGGCTTAAAACTTTAAGTAAAAACTTTTTTACAGAGTACTGAAGTCTGCATGCTGTAAAAAAAATTAGTAAGTTTATTTTAGGTAAACCTTCTTTATTTATTGACAGCTTTTTTCAGTCTCGTTTTTTGGCCAAGCATGTCCTGAATTTCAGTTACTTTTTAGTTTAGGTTAGGTTTTTTTTTATTTTGGTGCAAAATGGTTAAAATACTTGGTAAAAAAAGCTTCAGAGTAGGGTGGCAAAATGTATTGTTAATGGTTATTGTGATTTCGACAATACTGCAATACTAATATCACAGAGCGATACAATATGAGCTTCAGGGGGTCAGCTTTTAGAATCTTGACCAAAGTCAACTAACGTTTTTTATTTATTTTTATGGCATTTGGCAAACGCCTCTATCCAGAGCAATTTACAATGTAACCCTTTTAAACAGGGAGGCAAAGGTATTGTTAGGAGTCTTGCCCAAGGACTCTTACTGGTATAGTGTAGTGTTTGCCCAGGTGGAGGACTGAACCCCAGTCTACAGCGTAGAAGGCAAAGGTGTTTGCCATTACACTATACCAACTGCTTCAGAAGAGTGCATGTGGATGTTATGATGAAACAAAGCATTCATGTAAGCCAACAAATAATACATCAAATAAATATTGTAAATCATTTTGGTCAATATAATTCAAATGTAGGCCAGTCCTTAATCCTGTCATTGGGTTGAAGTTCACTAATGTATTGTGAATATACTGTTAGGCATACCACAATTACAATATGAATAGAACTTCTACTGCTTCAATTTCCCCTATAAATAGAGTAATAATTACCTCTATTTATATATAAAATATTTGGGAACAATTTATCTAGGTACACTCTTGACTATCTTTTTGGTTTGTTTTTGAAATATCGCATCATCTATCATTTAGTTAACCAGACTATCGCACTGTTAACCAAAAAATCGTTGCTGTACAAAAACACTGTATCTGTATTTTTGTCACTTTTTACTTTTTTGTGTATTTCTGGTCACACTCATTATCCTTGACATTGTGTTAAAATGTCTAATAGACCAATAGAAATGGTCCAAAATCAATTTGAAAAAAAGTCTTGTTTTTTCCTTCTCATGTAAAGTTACAATTATAGAAGATCGGGGGTTTTGTTCCGACAGCTACAACCTTTATATGCACCTTTTCCATAGGTAGAGCGATAATTTAAGTTTAATGTTTCTCTAGATAGACTTCTAACCTCCTTTTTAACTAATTTTTAAAAACCTAAAATAATGCAATATTATTCGGCCCTACTTAACTGTACACGCTTCCTGGAGGCCTGCAGAATAGGACCTGAGGAAGACTTACTGGAGCGCTCAGAGGACTTCTGCTTGTTCTCCCCCACCTCCAGGGAAACCTTCTTCTCCTGGAGGTCGTTGGCGCTCTCCTCCTCCTCGTCGGCGTCCGAGCCCGAAGTGCTGCTGCCATTGCAGCTGCCCGAGGTGTCCTCGTAGTCGCGGTGCCTCCTGGGCACCTGAGCGCTCTCAGGCATGGAGGACAAGGCCTACAGACAGGCAGACAGACAAGCCAGAGATGTCCAAGGGGGAAAAGATGATGTTAGACCATGTCAGAGCTGGGGCTGATACAGCCTTCAACCCGACTCCAATTAGCGTTTGTCATCGGCACTAGGTAAAGGTGACGGAGGGAAGTAAAGTGAGGAGAAGGAAAGCGAAGTAGGAGGGGAGGAGAGGGAGGGAAGGTGTGATTGTAACACAGCCCTTGGCGTGTGCGTCGCTGACAAGCACAATGTTGACTCGGCTATGATTAATGTCACGACAGAGACATGTTAATACAGTCTAAAGTGACTCTGCTTGGATAGTGCCTTTCACCGTCACACATTCAGAAAGCATGAATTCATCATTTCCTTTAAAAAAATAATTTAAAAAAAAGGGAGAAAAATAAAGGTTAATTGAACTGAATGCCTGCCCTCATGCTCAGTAAGGAGCGCACTGTTTGCATTAATAAAGCATTCGAGTCAGTTATTCAACAGCTAATTTAGCTCGCCTTTTCTTGTACAAAATTAACACTTACAAAGCAATCACAAGTGCAGGTTTAAGCAAATCAATTAGTGAAAGCAAGAAGGAGACAGAGACAAAAAGAATGAAGGAGATGAACTGAAATGTCTCCTTCCGTTTCATCGTGCTGCTCTCCGTGGCATCTCTGAACGGGGCTGCTTAAGACCCAATCCCACAGTATTTAAATTGCTTCATTTCTGCCCTGTCTGATTTTTCCAGATGGCCCATAATGCACCCCTGGGAGTCTGTCTATCCATCAGAGCACTCAGCGCTGTGTGTCGAAAGGTCGTCAAGAAAAAAAAAAGGAAAAAACACTCAGCATAGTCGAGAGTGACAGGCGCAAATTAATTTCAACCGAAGCCAATTGTGTAAGAAAGAATAGTTAGCCTTGTGGGCTTCACGTGGTTGAAAAGGCAGCTCCCGCTCGTCACGCTGGACGTTAGGTGGTGCCAGGACGTGGATGAGGATGAGGCTCACCTTCGGCCCTCTCTGCCTGGACGTCTTCCCCATCAGCTTCTCATCGTCCAGCTCACACTGCTCCAGCAGGTCCAGGATGTCCTCTTCCTGTGGACACACAAACATAGATATGTTGTATTCACATTATTTAACTAGCCAACGGACCCCACGGCCCATACGCCTCTTATTACATTTTCATTAACAATTTCTTAATCATAGCTCACTGAAACAAGAGGCAAAATTCAATCCAAAGTTCAGATTCTAAACTTTCAATGAAAGATATGATACCATATCTGTGTTTGTCACTACAAAGCAAGATCTTTTATTATGATTTGAATTTAATAAAAAAGATATCACTGTTCAAACTCGTGTCTTGTTTTTAGGAAAGCAAATCGTCCTTTACATTTCTGCTTCATTCTATTACATTAAAACAAGAGCAGACTTGAATCTGTTGATACATCATTATGTAATTAATTATGTGCCTGTGGAACATATTCATAATCATTTTTATGTAAACCTAAAGCAGAGCAAAATGACAACAATCCAACTCGACATTACTTAAATATTTTGACTAGCTCCCATATTTTTTGCATGCTGCCTTTGAGCAAGAACAATACTTGGATAAGCAGGAAAGAGATTTGCAAGTATGTGGGACAACATGGACGAGTAATTATGCCTCTAATCTGTGGCTAAGAAGGCGAAGGAGCAGACAAAGAGAGCAATTTATGAGGATTAAAACAGCAAAAGAGTTTCTCTAAGCAGGTCTTTAACTGTACTCTGTCAACAACAGGCAGGAGTGGTCAGTGTGGTGTGTGATAGCTACTGACCATCACTATGAAACAAAGTTAAAGCAATAGTTTGTTGGGAAACGGTTACTTAACTCCTCATGATTTAAGGTCCCATTACTTGTTAGCTACAGAGTTCTAGAGCCTCAGAGTTCCAGTGCAATTCTGTAAAGTTAACTTTAGACATAAAACAAAATATGTAAGGGGAAAGTTTTCTCTCTCTCTCTCTCTCTCTCTCTATATATATATATATATATATATAACAAATATAACAAATACAAATGATATTAATACAATAAGTAGTGATTATTAGAGTACATCAGTGTTTACCATTTACAAAACTCTCTTCGTGGCATCATAGTTACTGTCTAATATCTACATTATCTAATCAATCTTTCATTAAATTAAATCAAGTGTTCTAGTTATGACATATAATAAATTCATGCAACGGCATCGATGAGAAATCAGAAACCATTTGGTGAACATTTTGTTTTTCAATCTATCTCATATTAACTACCTTTTTGAAAACTAGAAATTCTTGGGTTTTTTTTTACTGCACCTGTGTTTATTTGTATTTATTACAATGATTTTACAAGCAAAAAACATATTTATTGCCAAGTAATAAAATGTAATAAAAATGTAATTTTTGTTCCATTTACTTCGATTTGAAGTTAAGACCATTTTTTTCATCGCCTGTAAAGTTACTGTTTTGGAGATACAAGATTTTGTCACAAAAGCGAAGATACACTGTTAGTGTATCACTAGTCAATCACTAGTCAAAAGTTTGTAATCACCGTTTTCAAATGATTTTAGAGCAACTCCACTGGTTCTAATTAGTAGAAAGCTAATAAAGCTAATAAAGTGAAATGGGTCTCCTACTTTAGCTCTTTGTTTCTCCTTTAGTTTATCTCCAAAGAGACTGATTGAACACATGCCTGACTCTGTGTTCCAACACATTCTCGTCATAGCAGACAATAAAAGCTCTCTGGTGAAGATTTGTCTCGAGCCGTCTCTGCAGTTTCATAATGAGAAATGTTGCACGCTGTTCCGCAAGGAACACTATCACTGCGTTAACACCCAGTAAGCTCTCCATTGATCTGTTCTTCTAGCTCAAATGGAGATAAGTGTATTAAATTCCATCTTTTTTGTGCTCATTGCCTCTGCACATTGTTCTTCAAATCCAGATTAAAAAACGTTGTTCGGGCAACCAGCCGAGGAGAAAGTGGGCTGCTACAAGCTCACACTGAGAGCTAACGCTAGTTGTCCTTTTACTGTTTCGAATGATGCTGGGGCTTCATGGATACAGTAACAGCCCTGATTCTTCGCTGAAAGAGCCAAACCTGATGCTTGCATCTGAATGAGCACAAGCAGGGAGGAAGGTCAGGGGCTAACGTGGCAATGGCACAAGCTCAGCAATCCTGAACCTGGCCCAAATGAGCCAGACCCACACTCCGCAGGATTCACCTTGCAGGCTCGCCCGGCCACATTTATGCACGGCCCTGTCGCAGTATGTTAGCGCTATGGCTTTCACGTTGCCTGATAAAACTCTAATTAAAATCATTGATTAAAATATATCCTCTTAATGAATTGGCAATGATTAGATGCTGTTTTACATAACTTCTAGCCTCTCTTACTGATAGAAGAGCCATTTATGTTATGTTATATGTTATGTTTAATATGGCTGTCAAAGTTAATGCATTAATAATCCAGTAACTTGATAAATTATTAATGGCACTCGTTTTCTTTAATGCATATTAACATATTTTTCCTAGTTTCAGCCTTCAAAACAACTGTTGTAGTGCAGACTGAACTCAGCTGCTCAAGACTGAATCTGTGATTGTAGCCCTCTCTTTCAAATACAGCTTTTAAATGGCTTTTAAAGCGATACCCTGAGCATCTTCAATAGATTATGCGGAACTGTGAACGCTGGACAATGTTGATGAAAATTGAGTTTCCACTCTATGGAAATAGTGATTTTCATCTGAATGTTAACAAGATGAAAATAGCGGGCCTCATTCAGCAATATCTTCCTAAGTTTTTTCTTAGATGTGTTCTTGAGAAAGGTCCAACATCAGATTCATGACTGAGATTTGTGTTCTTAAACGGCAGAATTGTTCACACCTTTGTGCTCTAGAGTGTGTATAGATTCTGTTCTTACCTAAGAACAAACCCCAAATAAAAAAAAACACAGATGAATGTCAGAATCTTCGTGAAAACTGCGTAAGTGGGTTTTAAGAAGAAATTTAATCTTAAGGACGCCTGGTGAATAAGGCCCAGTGTTACTGAATTATTAAAAATAATAAATACATTCTGATTAAGCTCTTTTTATCCACTTATAAATTTTATTCACTTTTAAATGAAAAATCTTTTAGGGTGTAATTTCAGCAAATGAGACAAATGTAACATTGTAATTAACCACAAGTAATTCAATTGTTTGGCAGCCCTAGTTTTTACTTACTTATTAAAAGCTCACTTGTTTATCTTTTCAAATAATATTTGAATCTTTGTCATTGTTCAATTAAGCCCATTTTTATGGCCTCGTGGCCTCTGATAACTCAATTAATTGGTAAATTACTCGATCACTAATGTAACTGATAATAATGGTCGTGGTCAGCACTATCTTCCCTCCCAGAGAAAGGCCCAGAAGCAAAAGGAGCTGCTTTGTGATTTTCTCGATCCAAGTCCTCACTGATCAGATTCCATCAAATGCCGGTATACAGACAGGACGATCCTTAAAAAAGCGTCTTCCAACAGAGCTGCGCATTTATATGCATGGGATGACATATTCAGCCTTGAAAATCCTCTTCAAACATCCAGAGGCTTCTGAGAGGGAGGACGGCACAAATGATGAACTCAAGGCGAATAAAGAATGACGACAGAGGCCGGGTGGCGGTGGGGTGGGGTGGTTGATGGAGGTAAAAACGGAGGCACGCTAAAGAAACAAAAGAAGGGTTGCGCGAGGTTCATAATGTCTTCAAAAAACACTGCGTTCGCCATGGACCGAAGCTTTTAAGAATCAGGCAACAAGGTCGCCGTGGCAAACGCAAGGATGCTCTGCTACGGTATACTGCAACACTTTCCTTTCTTCTTTTGTTATTTTCTGGCTGAAGAAAGATTGTAAATGTACAGAAAGGAGGAATGGGAGAGAGCGAGAGAGAGGTATGTAAGTAGAGAGAGAAAGAGAGAGAAAGAGAGAGAGGGAGCTGAGTTTGTTGCTAAGCACGAAAGCCAGCTGAGACCCAGGTACGTGCCTTCATTCGTTTCAGAGGATTATTCATTTCCTTTTGAAGTGAGGCTGCTCGCCCAGCGAGGAACGTCTGAAAAGCAACCGAGAGGAGACCCTCATACTTCTCCAAGAGCAGCTTGTCTTCTGGGGGGTAAATACGTCTGTAAGCAAAAAGAGAGAGGGAGAGAGAAAAGGCAAGAAAAAGTGTGAGTGGGATAGATTGATCCGCATGGCTGCCTAGCGTGCCTGCTTTTCATATCAGCTAAACAAATCTCGCTCACTCTTTTCGCACCGCCCTCGGTATTAAAGTAATGCACTTTTGTTGATATGTCTATTAGCACTTGTTGCGGCCCGGCTAATGCGCCAGCTCGCACGCTGGAAGGATTTCCAGGCCCAAGACTAAACTAACAGGTTTAATGTTTACGTTCGGACACGAGGGACTCGCCAAGTGTAAACTTCACATTTTATCTACGTAATATATCTTTAAATGACTTCACGACTTCTGGCTGTCCGGGCAATAAAAACAATGGCGGGACATTAATCTAAATAAACAAAAAACTGGTGGTGGGTGGTGATAAGTAATATCTGTTCTATTTACATATTTTCACCCAGTTCCCAACCTGCTAACAGGGTGGCTTGATGGCAGACGTTAGGAATGTATCTCTGACGTTTGAACATGCTCTTTAGTTAGAAGCTCAGCCAGCCACGGCATAATCAAGGGATCAAGTAATGTAAATGTTAAGATCTCAGGATAAATCCCTCAAATCCATTAAGAGCTACATATGTGCATTACGGTCAAACATGCGCAGCGGCAAAAAAAAAAATAAAAAACCTATTACCAGCGCAAGTGCTTTTGACACTTCTGGCCTTGTCTTGCACATATGGCATGTGTTTCAATCTCAGCCTGACCCACATATTTCCCACACTTTTTTTTCATGTTTCAGCATCTTTTCGGGGGTGTTTTTATTAGGATAGAGATGTAGGGAATAGCAATTACATCAGCCAGAAAATGACCTATTTAAGAAGTAGCTTCATTTCCCATCATTCCTCTGAGCTCTTTTAAGTGCTTGCATTATTCCGGAGTGACTCGTCACAATTACTCATCGAACAGTGTGTTAAATGCTACAGACGCTAAATGGCTTTGGCTCCTCTTTGAAGCAGCCTCCCCTTACCTGAACTTCATTCCAGTTAAATAGGAAAGGTTAGTTAGGAGACTGGTCTAATGAGGGTGCCTTAATCAAATCCCAATGTCGCATCCCAGTCGCGGGGTCTTCATTAGGGAGCGCCAGACGCTTTGGCGTTTGAGTGGAGCAAATAAGGAGCGGCTGTGGTAAAAAAGCCCAGGGCGCTGTTGTGACGCACAGTCCTTCCTTTAAGAGCCCATATTCTAAGTCTTTGTATTTTTTCCACTTGTAGGGCTTATATCTCAAAAAAACTGAATACCTTCTTCCTTTAATATATTAAAAGAGGTTTACATATTATGTAAGCATTATTTCATTACTGCGATAATTACATTATCACAGTTTCAAAGGTTCACTTCCCAGTCCATACACTGTTCGAAATAAAGTTTCTGTGCAGGTACATTTTTCATTCATCAAGGAATAATGTAAATGTACCCTCAAAGGTACAACAGTGGTTTTAGGTCCAATTAAGTACCTTTAATACATTTCTCCTAGCATGTATTTGTACCTTTTCATAACCTAATGTTTAAAAACAGAGCAATAAATGAAAGCCTGGAGACGGGGTGCGTCGAGTCAATACAACATAGAAAATATAATTTCGATGGATTATGGTACGATTATGTTCCCTGACTAAAGGTATTGAGATGTACCCTTGAGGGTACTACCCCACTGACAAGAGGGGTCCTGCCCCAGTGACAGTTTTATACCTTCTCTCTGAGAGTGTATACGGAAACTGAGCAAAAAATTAGCTTATTTTGAATTCACTGTTTTTGTGATGTCACAAAAATCAACAAAATGTATTTGAATATTCAGCCTACAGCAGTTTAGCCCCGCCCATTCTTGCTGAATTTGCTAAGACAGCCTGTTTAAAAATTACAATAAGTATGTGACGTACTTTTTCACTGTTCATTCAGCCTGCAGCAGTTTAGCTCCACCCACTCAAGATGAAGTTATAAAGAACGTTGTTACTGCAGGCAATCAGGTTTATGTACCAAAACAGTCGTAATTCACTTATACATGATTATTGCCCAACCTCTCATCTCTTAGACTTAAACAGGCTGTTTTTGCTCCTGTACCTTCAAGACTGACATATGCACATTACCTGCTTTTTGTTTGGCTGCCCTGTATATATTGTACCAAAAGCAGCATGGACTGAAACACTTCTTATGACATCAACGTGAATGAGTGGGGCTATCAGCTGCAGTAAGCTGAATAGGAGAATGCATGTAAATACATTGGTGTTTCGTGACATTGAAAAACAATGAATTCACTTTGGGCCTTTTTGCAATTTTGTTTTGGTACATGGTCTGTACAGACTCGGTGGTGAACAGTATGTTTTGAAACTTTAATAATGTTTACGTACTACATCAAACTCATTTTGGGAAAAAAAGTGAGGAAAATCAAACGTTCCAGGATTTAGACCCTTTAACTTAATTAATTGTCTCTATATAAATTATTTTTGCACTAAAACTGATGAGACATGGCAAGTAGTTCTAATAGCCTCTCTTCTCTTAATTATGTAAATAAAATATACTACTTTAGGTAGTAAAAATACTGATTTTCTTGCCAGCAGTTACGTTTGGCGGGTTCCACAAGTTAACCCAAATCACAATTCTGACAAATGCGTAAAATTCGGGTCAAATAGCACTGCATGGTTCAAATAAGAATTCAGACTGAGTGAGCTTACACTTTATCCAGAGGAAGGAACAAGATGAAAACATGATGAAGAAGACAGTGACTTCATGTGAGGGCATTCATTTGTCAGAAAATGCTAATTTTATTCAAGGAAATGACCCCCAAAAGTTCAATCATGTCTCTTATGCTGGATCCCTTTACTCTTATGAGAGACCTGGGAAGCCCCCTCCTCCCTCCAGCTCCCCTTAATTCAAACCCTGTTACTGTTCCCTAATGGGCATTTTCACACTTGTCTTGAAGACTGTCACACCCAGGAGCGATTCTAAGCTTGTTTTGGGGGAGGGGCTCATTATCACAGGTTTGCCTTCACACTGTATTGAGGCAGATTGTGTTGAACTACCTTATTTTCACTTAATAAAAAGATTACATAGGCCAAAACACTGCCATATCTCGGCCAGTGGCCCAGCTCTGCTTTAGGACATGTGGGCCAAAAAGGTATGTTTTAATGTGGGCCAATTTTGCAGTTTGCCAGTTCTGGCAGTGGACCAGCCGTGCAATGTGTTTGTTTAATGCATGTTTAAAGTCCAGGGAACCTAACTGTGTGTTTTCTTTTTAATTAGGTCTTGTTCTTGCAGGCAAACAGTAAATATCGACTAAGTATACCCTGTGAATAATGTTCCAATGACCAATAAATGATGGATATATTTCGCCGTATTTCACTATCCTTGATGCAAACTGAACGGTCCTAATCTTGGATAAGGCTTCTGTAAGCATGCCCTTACCAATCACTAGGCTGATGTCTATTGCCCTGCCCACACAAAGCAGTTTCAGAGTCAGAGAAACTTGGCGAGCTAAAGCTAACCCAGCATAACCAAAAGCTAGCCAGACCACCTGTCTGTAGCTCTATCATTCGTTCATCCATACACAAAATTGTTCGTTCGTCCAGTTACCATTGCATAAAAACTGGATAATAAGTTTAGTTCTGTATGAGTGGTGGAGCAGGCTAGGAGTGCTGGACAGAGAGCTGCCAATCAAGCTTCTCATTAGCCACACCCACACAGTTCTTAGACAGTGATTCAGTGGTTTTAAGCCATGTTTTGTCATATTTATATCTGATTTTTCATTCAAGCTTTGCTTGATGTTTAATATAAAATAAAATATCTAATATAATAATAAAATAACACTCAAGTTTAGTATCATACAAACATTTCTCATATTTTACTCTGTGCTCCCTGGGACTTTGATGCTTAGCATAGCAAGATACAAAATAATTCTTTTATTTCAAAAAAGGTAGAAAAATAAATTTGCTTTTTCATGAGAAACCAGGTTTTTATTGAATTGTTTTTCTTCCCTTGAGGTCCACATCATTTTTGCAGTTTTATGCACCAAAAAATTATTTTTTATTTGACCATTTTCCAACCTATCTTCATCCCTCAGAATTAAATAGTTGGCTGTTTCTGTTACTGTGCCTTTAAGTTTTATATAAGATAAATTAGGTCTGATTAGCTGCTCTGTTTTGAACCTCATTCAAAAACAGGCTGAAACATTCCTTATAATTTCAATGTTAATGGGCAGGGCTAAACTGCTGTAGGCTAAATAGGTTTACATATGTAAACGAGTTGGTTCTTAACATCACAGAAATAATGATTTCAATGCGGTCTGATTTTGCAGCATAGTTTCCGTATATAATACTCCATACGTTTTTAAACGTCAACAATGTTTATATATTACTTTATTTCAAAAAAGCAAGGGAAATTCAGTTTTCCATGATATAGAAAGAGAGCATTACCGACGAGCAATGGACTAGTTGAAGCCAAACGGCCTCTGACTTATCTTCTGAAGTGGGCATCTGCTCGTCTGACAGGTGAGTATTAAAAATTGACGACCTCTGTTCTGCAAGGCCTCACGTCAGAGAGAAGCTCAGCACGTCTAAAGCACGTGCATGTGTGTTTAAGTGTGTGTGTGCATACTGGGGAGCACAGAATTCAGGCCCTGACCGCTGTCTTTTCTCATTTGGAGCACTGCTTGCTTTCTCCTTCCCCTCCTCTTGACTCAAGCCGCGCTGCGTCGCTTTCTCTGCCACCGTTTTCCTCCCGGGAGCGCCCTGCTCCTTACCTGACCCTGTAAATGTAAGTTGTGCCCGGGAGAGGCATCCCTCGGGAGGAGACGCTCCGAGCCTCTTCCTACCTGTAGTTCCCCAGATGACGCTTTTCATGCTCCTCCCGGGAGATCTGCTTGCGAACCTGGGCCAGTCGTTCTTTCTGAAACAAAAAATATAGCAAAGGTGAGGGAAGTGAAAAACAGAAGATCTGATTCTGTTTCTCCAGCACAGCAGTATCGTTCAAACAGGCCCGCTCCAACTAACGACGTATGACTCGTTAGCCCATTAGAGGCACCTTAATGAAGTCGGAGAGTTAGAGAGCGAACAAAGAGCTGCATGCAAAAATGGCCTCTCCCTTGCACTTGTTAATACGGGAAGCCAATTCATAATTCATATGGATTTAACTCCCACTTTCCCATTTTAATACATCAAAAACTGTAATTGTGAAAAGGTCAGCTGGTCAATTTGCAGCGGAGCAGCGGGGTGCCTCCAATTATAGTCACTGATCTCTGCTAAACACTAGAACATGCTCACTCACTCAACCCCCGATCCCACGCTCTCACCCTCTTATGTGCTTCTCGCCTTGCCCTTTGAAAATACCACCTACCTGCAGCAATTTTACATTCATTCATCACTTGATACAATAAAGCTTGACCAAAAGACCAATCAAGAGACGGACTGGAGTGCGGCGCACCTTCTCGCCGACCTGCCACTTAAAAGTTTGAAACGCGTCGCCCCCGTAATTCCCGAACATGAATAATTAAATAACACATTGTCGCCCTGAAGTGCCAACAAAGCGCTATACTTGTGCCTCAAAAGAAGTTCTTGGAGAAAGTTTCCCAGTGGAGAAAAAAATTAAGTCATACCAGTTCCTCTTTCCTCCGCTCCAGCGTGAGGCGCTGCTTCTCCCACTCAGAGGAGCCCGCTGACAGCTTCTTCATAGAGCCTTGTCCATAGAGACGCCGCTGCGCTTCGGCCTTCTGCTGGGCCAGATTCCGTCGCTTATCACTTGCTCTGTATGAGGAAAAAACAAAATACAGCACCAATCAGGGTGTTAGACGATGTCACAATGACTGAATTCGATTACGATTTGTCAGGAAGTTATTCAGTATGAAATTTCAGATTGCAACATGATTCAATTTGATTATTGTGGTACAATTCAGAATGATTTTTAATAATACACTGAATACACAAATATGACTGGAGGAGCTGCTTACATATTAGTAGAATTTAGACAACAAAAATAATGCAATTTTGTATACATTTGGATAGAATGACTGTCATGCTATTAAATACAAGCCTGTTACATATAAGTTATCATTTTTTTCAGTGTCAGGAACAACCCAGAAAGACCTCCCTTGATTTAATTAGTTTTCACTCAAAATCGCCATTTAGTACAAGTTATTCTGTCAGAAGTTATTCAGAGAAAACATATATTTAACAGAAAAGTACAAAGAAGCCTCAACAACAAAATACAACACCAAATTTACAGTATTTAGCATGTTCTCCCTTTGCCTTCCAGTTTTTCAATTGTACATGAAACATACTGTCAGTTTTAAAGAAGTCTTCAGAAAAGAAAAAAAGTTCAGTCTTAGAAGTTGGTTACATTTCCTGCTTTTTCATGATCCAAGTAATCCCAGGTACAAACATCTGTGATGTCCAGTTTTGGTGTTCTAGTGCAATTTTCTCCTTTGTTGTCTAGTTCCTTTTCTCAGTGAGGGCTTCTTCTCAGCTACACATCCTTTCAGACCCATAGCTTCAGTTGTCTCCTCACAGTGGAAGAATGGACAGAAACCCTTGTGGATTTTTTTCAGATCTAAAGCAAGAGTGGAGCTTGATTTCCCACAGGAAAGAAATATCAAAAAAGAGATCTCCCTAATATCACTGTAGCATCTCCAAGACAATAATGAGATAAGATAGAAAGACAATGGAGATTTCTGCTTAAGCCTCCTGCTGCTCAGATATTTCTCCTGGGAAAATCTCACACGTTTCATCTGAAATTTAGTAGACATCGCAACAAAGTCACACACTGTGCTCAGATTTGTCAAGATAATAACACTCATTTTCTGTAAGTAAACACTCGTTTCTCCTTTATCTCTCTTGTATCAAATATCTCCTGCGTCTTAAGCTATTTCTCCTAAAGAATTTTAGGGAAATCATCATTAAGTCTTCTGAGCCCTAAAAGAGCAATATTTAAACAATAAAAATGCCCTCTGGTTTTCGCCTGTCTCTCAAAGATGAAAGCTTTAAGTACTGCTTATCTGATGGTGACAGACTGGTGGTCCACTGGTGGTTTTCACTTATACTCCTTTGGCTTTCCCCTTCTTTGTGCAAGTGGATTATCTTACATCTAACTTCATCAGAAACATCGCTTTTAACCATTTCAAATGCACATGAGAAAGAAATCTGCAAGGCACTTATGGCAGCCACCAATTAAATACTGACAGATTTGATATTATACTGTGTTGGAGGGTTTTGTGCAATTTTCTGCAAAAAAAGGTTTCCTGCTTTTTTTCTGATTCTGAAAAATGAATAACTTGTACTTAATGGCTGGAAATCACTGGAAATTAAATAAAAAGGTGGTCTCTGACTTTTGCACAGTACTGTATTAATAATTATAATGTAATCTTATAGCACAATTGCATCACTACCTTCAGAGATCAATCACAATGCGTCCTTTTACATAATAAAATAAGGAGAAGTAAAATTAGAAAGCCTCCCAAACTTGCCCAGCTCAGCAGATTCATCATATGGGTTTTGCTGGAAAGGATCCAGCAGTTTTTTTTTATTTCTACACTCACTGGCCCTTTAAATTTGCTGTTGTGCTGAGGCTGCCTAGGGTCACTGGGTGTCCTGAATTCTGAGGACTGGTCTCATTTTTTTCGCTATACGGGCCTTCATGCTTTCGAGTTTCCTTTATATCCGTGACACTGTGAGAAAGAGCCCACAGAGCCGGTGTATTACAGCTTTCCAGCACTCAGGAGGACGTGCTAACTTTCCGGAATGGAGGAAACAGGAAGCGATAGGTCACTCAGTCACTGAGGATATAGTGCCTGTTTAATGGTGCACTACGCTGCCTGTCAGGCAGGATCAGGTCTCAGGCTGGAGATCCGCAGGGCTGAGCTAAACATCTGGACAGACAGGGAGGAATTCGATGTGACAAGAGGATCGCAATACATCTTTATACATTTACGCTTGAAACGTGATCCAGTGAGCCACCATGCGTTCACCTCCTCCTATGTCCTGATGTAGTGCCACTGTTACTTCGCTGGACTATATTTAGCCAGGCGGAGGACAGTCCAAGCTCGGAGGTCAGGTCCAAGATGATCAATCAGTGCGGCTCTGTGTACTGCCTGGGGACTGCTGTCCGCGTGCACACACAGGCAGGGGTGGCTACAAATCCACACATAAGCACTTACGGCACATGCTCCTATTTATAATGTGCTCTATATCAAGATAGAAATGAATGTATACACTAGCACTGCCGCCTCTAAGTCGACAAGCAACTAAGAAAATTAAACAACTAAGATTCTGTCAGTCAACGTGGCTATTTATCTAAATTGTTATTTGGATGTAAATTATCGCACTTTGTAAAATAAAGGAGTTTGATGTAGTATTGAAAAATTGTTAAAAGTTTCAAAACGTACCACCCACTCCCAAGTTTGTGCTACTGAAAAAATACTGTAAAAACAACCTTTTAAATTCACAGCTTTTTTTCAATGCTGCGCGAAGGTTGAAGACCACCCTTCATTTAATTTCCAGTCAGGAAAGCCATTAAGTACAAGATGATGTTTCTGAGAAGGTTAGATATAAGATAATCTACTTGCATAAGAAAGGGGGAGGTCAATGAAAATCAGTGAGAAAACTGGACTTCAAAAAATGATAAAAAAGATATAGAGAAAATTGAACTTCTAACAACTGTGCAAGAACTGACAGACCACCTAAACTGCTACCATCAGATTAACAGTGCTTGAAGTCTTCATCTTTAAGAGAGAGGAGAAAATCAAGCTCCACTCTTGATCTGAACAAATCCACAGGTGTTTCTGTCCATCCTTCCACAGTAAAGAGATAACTCAGTGCTAGAGTCTGAAAGGATGTGTAGCTATCAAGAAGCCTCACTGAGAAAAAGAAAATAGACACAAAAAAAGAAAAATTGCACATCAAACAAAGAAGCTGGTGTTCTCAGAACAATGACAGATCACGAGACCTAAACATCACTAAATGTGTCTAGGATTATTTGAACTGTGAGAAGCAAATCAATGCAACCGACTTCCAAAACTGAACTTTGGAGACTTCTGGAAAAACATTTCAGCAGATTTCTTTGAAAAACTGTAAGCAGGTCTCCCAGGAGGAAGTGAAGCTGATATGAAGGCAAATGACGGATGCACTAAACACTGAAAAACTGAATAGAATTTAACTGTACTTAATGGCTGTTTTGTCTGGAAAGGTGACTTTTGTATAGTGCTGTACATATATCTGTCTATTCAGATTATAGCAGTTTAGCTCCAGTGTGTTTCAGCCTGGACTACTTTCTGAATGAGGCAGCCAACAGAGGAGAGGTCATTTACATATATCAGGCACAATAACAAAAAAATCCTGTTGAATTCTAAGAAATAAAGAGAGGTTGGAAAACGGTTATGTATTAAACTGTATTTGGTACATAAACACACACAAACCTCATAGTAGGAATGAACAATTAATCATTTTTATATTGAAACTGTGAAATCGCAGGTGGCGCAATTGTAACAATATGCTAAATTATTCAAAGTTGTCGTAACAGGTTTTAAGTGGGGAAATACAACCTTATAATGCAGAGCTTGTGAGTTGGCAGTCTTGCATACTGTATTTGGCATTCAAGCCTCAAGTCTGTAAAAACCGTAGTGCTGTTTTTTTGGCAAAACAACAAACACGAAATAATAATACTTGTCATTTAATATAATAAAACTTGTAATTTTAACTGTGTAAAAACAGAAGCAGTACATAAAACAATGTGAATTGTAGTTAAAATGTACAAATATTTCATTTTCTCTATAATAATGAATGGCTGCTGTCACAAAGCTCGAAACGGGAAGTGAAATGGTTCATTACCTTTGTTAATGGTTTATTAAAGGTAAGACTCTGTGTTATTTGGCATAGCAGAGGGTGCCTCAGCTTGTGAATCCTTGCTGCAACGTTACTGTGGATTTAATCCGTGGTGTTTAAATTATCTGATGGACCGCAACTACCATAAACAGAGAGATTTGGGCAGAGGGGAAATGCTGTTTGATATAACACACATTATATGGTGAGACGATTTCACAAATAATTGAATACAACTTCCATGAACATTAGGACTTGACAAAATAACTGAATCGAGGTAAGTACACTACATACACATGCTCACACAAAGTTCCTTCATACAAGTGTGGCTATAATCTATTTTCGTCATTGCATGGAATTCAATCCTTTTAGCATGTGCAACAACATTTTCTGAATAGCCCTACACTTTATTTGAAAATCAGTCTTCTGTTGACTAAGAAAATGCCTGGATGATCAATACTATTCCTAAAACATACTCACACTTGAAGGGCCCATATGATGAAACAAACTCTCCTCACTTTTTTGATAATAAAAAAGTTTGAACACTGTAAACATTGTTGAAGTCTCAAAACGTAGTGTTCACTCCCCAGTCCATACGGTACATATATAGTTTTTGTCATGTTCTGAAAACATTTACAAATATCCACCTATTCAGTCTACAGCAGCTTAGCCCGCCCATTCATGTTTCAGTTACAAGGAGTGTTTCAGTTTAGACCGCTTTTTGAATGAGGCACAAACCTCATTTATAACGATACAGTAGGAAAAACGGGATAAAACGAAGTTGGAAAATTATCCCGTGTAAACATGACTTATGACTGTTTTTGTCACATAAGACCACATGAGCTTCATAAGTGGATTTTCTCCTTAAGTAGAAAAAATGACATAAAATTGTAGAGACACATGAGCAAGCCCATAAACACAAAAACATGTGAAGGAACACAAATTTGCAGGAACACATGCACCAAACTCGATATGACTAAGTGAGTCCACAAAGCTAAGAGTACTGCTTACCCTCTTCCACTGATTCCTACCCATAATAAACAAGCATAAACAAGCGGCTTGTGAGTGTGTCCAAAAATGTTCTCTTATAAGCTGTACCGCCCGAAATAACGAGGGGCGCTCCCACACATCAAAGACTCTCCAGTCTTCAGTGGTGAAATCAAGCAGATCGATGAGGCCTAAAACATTCAGAGGCCTTAAACATCCAGAGGTTGAACCTGTTCTTTTTGTTTAACTTCCTCCCCCCTGTTCTAATGGGACTGCCAAGAGAAAAGGTTCTGGAAGGAGAGGAGCTTCAGAGCTCACCTGATGTTCAGCAGTTTCAGGGCGTTGAGCAAGACCCCCTTCTTCACATCATAATCAATCTTCTGATCGGTCCCAAAACTCGGTGCTCGATTGATCTGGAAAGAAACACAAGAGTGAGATTACTTCTTTTTTTGTGGTTGGAGGAGTTTTTTGCCTCCCTCGCTTTCCAAATTAAAAAGCCTTTACACACCCAGCGTGGTTTATCAGAGTACTAATACATTTATTCAAACATATGTATAAATTATTGTTGTGTGAGGTATCAAAAGTTCAATGTTTCAGAACTATTTTAAGGTAAACAATTCAACACGCTAACTTGCAATGCTTTCAACTCTTTATTCAAAGGGCCTAAACTATGTCCAAGAGTTTGTCCAAGAGGAGTGTGTCCTCGTTTGAAGCAGTAACAGCCTCAGCTCTTCTGTAAAGACTCTACACTAGATGCCAAAACATTGCTGAGAGGATTTGATTGCATTCAAAACAAAGGCATTAGTATGGTCGGTTACTGATGTCGGACAATTAGTTCATCACAATCATCCATCACTCTAGAGAATGAAGTTCCACTGCTCCACAGCCCAATATTGGGGGGCTTTATACCCCCTTATAGCCGATACATGGTACTGGGCATGGTTGCTCAAGAGCATCCTATTCTACTGACAATGCTTTTATATGGAGATTATACAAGCTGTGTATCCACAAACTAATGCATGTGTCAGCAATGAGTGTACCTTAAAGTAGCTGAATTCACTCATCAGAAGGAGTAGATACTTTTCATTTAAATAATTGTGTATAATATTTAATCGAAAATATAGTGTGTATCAGACAAATTTTCCAAGTTAAAGAGTGTGTAAACGTAAACGTATGTAAGCACTGTTTCAAAGTTTCACCAAACAGCCTGTATGTAGAATTTAAGCAGTAAACAAAAAGTCTGTTTTAAATTTACTGTTTTTTTTTTTTTTGAAGTCACAAAAATCAACACATTTACATATATCTACCTCTTCACCTGATAGTAGTTTAGCTTCACCTATTCACTTTGAAGTTAAGAGGAATGTTTCAGCCTGGACTGTTTTTTTGAACAAGGCACAATAAAGGACAGCTAATCAGAACAAGCTAGCACAACTTCTATACATACTGTATTCTATACTCTGCTAAGATACAATAATTTACTTTTGTGAGTTCAATGCAGTAAACACAGGATGTTTATTGGGTTTTTTCTGCCATAGTATCATTCTGGTATTGGGCAATGGTATACTACACTTTGTATCAAAGTGAACATTTCTGGTATCATGATAACCCTAATGATGATATTTTGTATACCAAGCGTGATTTTTCAGAGAGCAAAAATGTAATATTTTTTCATCACCCTTGAATAAAACTTTCACCAGTGACATAAATTCACTTGACCAGTCACCAATGTCTCTGCCATTGGCAAGCTGACAACCAAGATGATGGATCAACTGTGTTCCAGCAAGTTCTTGGTCGTCCAAAACCATTCCTAAAATATACTGAGAATAAAAGTCCTTTCATATCATCAAAACTTCTTTTGGGAAAACTTCTCTCATGGTTTATTGAAAAAAAACCCCATATAATTCACTCCCTATTCTATATAGTACACATATGGAAAAAAGCTGCAAAAATATCCCATTTTCAACAGTTGCTTTTTTTGAGTTCACCAAGCATCACATATGTAAACAGAACAATAATCTGTGCTCTTCTACTTCAATAACATGATTTCTCAACACTGTTCTAGCATGTATTTGATATGCAAAGAATGTGATCAAATTCAGAAAAAATCAGATTTATCTAGTCTCACAACAAAACAGCAAAAAAAAATTAAGTGCATAATTTCTATTTATTCTATTTATTTATTGGAAAAAAATTAAACGGGTGCCAAAACTTTTACACATGACTGCACTTTGTGTAACTCACTATGTAAATAAATATGTAATGCAACATAATTACATTTCACTAGTAGAGCAAAAAGAAAGCAGAAATTCAGGACTTCTAAGGGTTAACACTCAAAATATGATCTGAAGAAAAGAAAAAAAAGCACTGTTCAGAAAGAAGAATGTATTGAAGGAGACACTTTTGTGAGGGGGGCAGTTTGAGTGGGGGTCAATGTGACCTTTGACCTATGTCTACTCATACATCCTGTTGGGCTGGGACAAGCTGCCACTTGATAAGATGTTAGCATCTCCTGTCAGACAGCACAGTCTCTCTGTCTGTCTCTCTCTCTCTCTCTCTCTCTCTCTCTGTCACTTATCCCCTTTCCCTTGCACTCAGCTAAAGTGCCGCCTCCCACTAGCAGTCAGCATCCTCCTCCATAGCCCACTGTGGGAGTATTGCTAAGAACTAGACTGAGTGTCATCTCTACTACATGCTTACAGTGAAAGAGAATCTACTATGTCTGGAGAGTGGATCGCGCTTTCTCCTAATGAGTGTAGCCACTGAAGTTCATAACTTTCCCCACCACCCCTTCCAAACCCTCTGCCCTCCCGCCCCTGAAACTCCTCCACAATCTTATAATAATGGCCCCCTTTCTTTTTAGAAGGTAAACAGTTGTCAGGGGCACTGAATTCAGGTATCAAGTGTTATTTGTAACATGCCAAAATCAATCCTTTGCCCTGTCTCTCCAGATGGCCCGAGAGCTGCTCAGTGTAACAAAAGGACCAAAGCAGTGCACTGATTGAATTGCAGGCTATGGGAAAAAAGGGAAAAAAAAAAAAAGCGAGGTCGAATAACAGTAGAAGTGGCACTTCTCGAAGGGCCGCACACCTCTCAGCGGAAGAGCTAAGACACGACCATCGGATACGTTCTTCTGGAACGTTCCTAGCAACTTGGTCCTGACACGCTTTTATTTAGAAGCAAAATTTCTGAAAATAAAACAAGGCAATTCCAACATTTGTCAGTGCAGTAAAAACCAACCGTAGCAATAACGTCTATTCTTTTTATTTCTCTCACAACAATGTGCAACTATGAATAAGCCATCCTCTGTTATGTATTAAATTGGCCATATCCTGCATTTCTCATTTCATTTTCCCCCCAAGGACCACTTACAAGGTTTGTGAGGGTTTATGCACCAAAAGGTGTATAATTCATTCTTACATGACCATTTTCTAACCTCCCTTTTTTCCTTAGAATTAAACAGTCTGTTTTTGTTACTGTGTCTGTAAAACTGATATATGTTAATGAGCTCTTTTGTGATTGGCCACACTGTATCATGCATCATTCAAAAAGTAGTTTGTGCTCAAAAACTCATAACTTGAGCATGAATCCACGGAGCTTAACTGCAGTAGGCTGAAATGGTGGATATATAAAAATGCACGGGTATTCATGACTTCACAAAAACAAGTAATTCAAAACAGGCTGTTTTTGCAGCTGTGTTTACATTGTATGGACTGGGGAGTCAATGGTTCATCTGTTGAAACTTTATCATTTACATGCTATATCAAAGACTTTTATTTCAAAAAAGAAGGAAACTTATTTTTAATTATATGAGCCCTTTAAGTAGAGGTTTAGTATGGTTCTGAAGCTACAACTTATTAAAGTGACAGTTTAACCAAAAAAATAAAAAATAAAATTAACAATTGCCCGCACTCCAAAAGCAGCAGAGCATGTAGTAATTCAGCCAAAACATGTTTGTTGCCTAAACTGGGTTTCAATAATTTTTTAAAACCATGAGGCTAATTTTGCTAACAAGAAATGGACACTCACCTCACACTGCATGAGCTGTTAAGAAAACTTGTCTAGCACCTTATTACTGTTATCTATACAAAAAGGCAAAATTAGGAAAGAGCGGGGTTGGTGGGTACAGTTTCTTTAATCTCTGCAGGATATTCCAGGATATCCCAAACAGCAGCAAATAAAGGCTAAACATCTAAGATAAAAAACAAACACTTTCTATGAGAGAAAATATGCATTCATGACTACATTAATATCAGCCACAACATGGAGATGGTTGAAATAACATTAAAAGGTTATAATTTCAAAGAATGAAGCAACAAATAGAAATAGAGCTTTTTTTTAACTAAACTGCAAACATAAACATTAAATGACAAGCAAATAAATTCTTTGAATCAATTTAATGTCAAGAATGTGTCATTTGTTTTATCATTGGCTGGTACTGAACATGGTGGACATGTGTGAGTGAAAGTAGAGACACCTTCCGTAAAACATTACTTGCGTAAAAGCAGTGTCCTCTATTTCTCTAGTTCATATTTAATACAAAAGTAGTTCGGCCTATAGATTAGAGATAAGAACAACTTGACACAAATTTAATGTAAATTTAATATTCAATATAAACTGGTTGTGGTATTTAGTAGGTGCGCAGTGTATGTTTGCGACAGTAGCCCCACATTTGACTTACAGTACAGAGCAAAAGTCAGAGACCACCCTCCTTTTACTTCATTTCCAGTCAAAATGACCATTAAGTACAAGTTATTCATTATTAAGAAGATAATTCTGAATTCTAGATAATTCTAGTGAAGTGGAAAGTCAAAGGAAAATAAATTTAAAAAGTATGCAAAATTGGAGTTTAAAATAGATTCAAAGATACACAGAAAAAATGGATCTCCTAAGAACTATGCAAGGCCTGGCAGACCACCAACCTGTCACGATCAAATGAACAGCACTTTCATCTTCACGAGACAGGATATAATCAAGCTCCACTCTTGCTGCAGATCTGAAAAAGGTGTTTCTGTTCATCCCTCCACTGTGAGAAGACAACCCAACACTATGAGTCTGAAAGGATGTGTAGCTTTCAAGAAGCCCTTACTGAGAAAAAGAAATAGACACAAAAGAAAAAAGGTTGCAAATCAAACAAGGAAGCCGCTGGTGTTCTATAGACTGTCCACTCCGGAGTGGACCTCAACATCACTGAATGCGTGTCGGAAAGTGCAACCAACTTCTAAGACTTTGGAAGTGTGCAAAAACATTGCTGCACATCTAAAACTAAATCCTTGAAAAGAGTGGAAGGGCAGTCGCACTAAATACTAAAAAACCTTTACTGTAATCTGTGTGGTCTTCTGTTCAATATGTTTTCTGCTTTTCTCCTCATGCTGTAAAATGAATAACTTGTACTTACTGAGCATTTAGACTGAAA